GGAAGGAAACCTGCAAACACTGAGGAACTCCAATTCTACTTAACAGGAATCATTCCTGGACAGACAATAACGAATACCCTCCCATTGTCCTCCCTCCCCTGTCCTCAATACCCCACCCCACTCTCTACCAGCCTGGGGACAGGTGCCCCGACTCCCCCACCCCTCCACCCCACCTCCCCCAGCTTCAGGGACCAGTGGGCCCATACACAGGCCCCCTTTAGGTGGCCCAGGCAGACAGAGGTGGCTGGAAGGATGGCCTCCTCGCCCTAGGGGCTGAAGCAGAGGCAGGCCAAGGGATGCCGAGGGCTGGCCTGGGTGGTGGATGGACAAAAGGACCTGCAGACCAAACTGCCAGACTTTACAACCTCCAGCCTTTGTCTCTGGACTGGAATGGGGCTGGGGGCTCTCCCAGCATCTCACCACTTGGAGGCTGCTCCCTGCCCATGGGGCTTCTGGGTGGCCCCTGGGCCTCTTGACTTGAGATTCTACCTTCTTGGCCCTTCCCCTGCCCCCATCATTGTGCTGTCTGTTGCGTTCTCACCCTCCTGCTGGGAGGGGCTGCCTCCACACCTCCTCCCTCACCTGTCCCCGTCCCAGGAGGGATGGAGTCCACCCCAGAGCCTAGAGGCAGGGCCTGACCCTGCACTGATTTCTCATGTGTCCTTGGGGAAAGGGGGAGCAAGAGCAGGAAAGGGGGAGAATCCAGAACACTTGGTCCCCACCTCCCCCTTTCTTGGGGCAGCAGCCCTCAAGCTCTCCCTGTGCCTCCCCGTCCCCAGGTGCCAAATAGCCATAACCTCTTCCTGAAACTGTTCTAGGGCCTCTCTAGGGTCCAGGTCTCCTGGTCAAGCCTGGGAATGCCAGGGGTGAAAGGAGGTCAGCTTAGGGTGCCTGGCGGCAGAGACCCTGGTCTTCAGCCAGGGGCACATTACTTACCGGAAAGCCAGGCCCTGCCCTGCCCTGCCTGCCCAGGGCCACACCTGGAAGCCTTGTACTAACATCGCAGAGATTCAGCCTCACCCCACTCCACCCCTACTGTTTTCCATTGTTTTGACTGGAGGGCAGAATTTTACTACTAACCTTTTTGGAGACCAGGGCCGCCTTGCTGGCAGCCTGCTTTCTAAGTGAAATCGACTCCGTTTCCCCACTTGAACCCCAAATTGGGGCTTGGACCAAGGGAAGTGAGACCCCCAAACCCCCAGGTCTCTCCACTTTCAGAATCCATCTCATTTTGCCCCCCTGCCTCATGCCCCTGCCCCAGCCTGGGGTTTTTGTTCATTTTTTAAAAACAGACAACCCCTGTCCCGTCCGTTTAGGCTTCTCTTCGTCCCCTGTAAATAGACCGTGCCATTGATCAGTATTTCCTGCCCTCCCCGCCCCACTCCTGCCCCCCGTCGTGCCCCACCCTAGGAAGAGCAGGCTGCCTCGGCTCGCCCGGCCCGCGCACTTCACCTCCGCCGCCCGGGCAGGCGGGGGCGGGGCCTGGGGGCGGGTCCGGACGGGGCACTTCCGGTTTCTCGGACCAATGGCTGCCCCCGCCCCGCCCCCGCAGGACCGCGTCTCTGTATATAATATATATATGTATGTATTGTTCCCGGTTTTGTACGGACCATGCCCTCTGTCAGGTCGTCCCCATAAAAGCAGCCCCCAGAGCCTCGCTGCCTGGTTTCTTGATTCGGGGGGAGGGGCAGGGATGCCAGCGCTGCCTCCGACACTGAGGATCTTGTCCACTCCTGGTTTCAGCAAAATTGCTCTCCACCACCACTGTCCCCATCAGCACTTACGTTTTTTTAGCCAGTCCTCCTGGGAAGGACTGAGGTTTCTAGAGTGTTACTCACGCCCACTGAATATCTCTTTTTACAAGACCTCTGATGGGATCCATGGACTGGGGTAGCTGCGGTAAGGTGAACCCATACCTTCCCTCCCCTGAGAAGTCGTCAGATCAGGGTACCCCGAGTCCGTACTCTGAGGGATCTTGTGTGAGGTAATTGAAGACTCAAAGGTTACCTGGGACTGGAAGGTGAAATGTCAGAGCAGTTCTGTCTTCAGGGTTCTAGAGAATACCTCTGGGGCAGCCTGAGAGGCCTTAGGTGGTCCTAGCCCTAAGCTCTGGACCAGCAGGTCTGCTTGCTAACTCACCTGCTCTAATAGAGTGGGTCTTCTGAGTTCACATGCTAGGATTCAGGGACCGGCTTTGGTGAAGTGCCAGGGATGGGTGTGAGGCCCCAGGTTGTGGCTGTCCCCAGCACCAGCCTTTCCTTTTTCTGTGTACATATTTGAGAACCTAAGCACAAAGCACTTGGATTCCATGACCTGGCCCCCATGGGGAGACATTCCCCTTTGGCTTAAAAAACAGAACTCCCAATATTAGGTCCTTCAAGGTCACCCAAGATGAGTAGCCTCTCATGATGAGTAGAAACTAAATCCCTTAGTTTCTAAGGGAGCAACTAACTTGTGGATGATTCTGTCATATAAGTCTCAAGTCAAATTCTGGCTTCTCATAGCTTCCAACCAAAAACCCTAGTTCTCCACTTCAGGGCCACATAGGACCTGTTTAAGCCTGAGGGTCATCTGGAAGCTTGGGGATGGCGACCATATCTCTCAAGACAGTTTCTCCAAGTGGATCATCCCTGTAATACCCTGAGGTCCCTGGAAATGCTGAAGACAGATCCAGGTGGCTGAACCCCAGGATCAGAGACCACCAAACCACAAGGTCACAGGTCATGGCTCCAGAATTAGAGGTCACAGGAAGCCTAGCCAAGAAGTACAGTGGCTGGGCCTTGCAAGGAGGGAAGGCAGACATGGAGGGTCATGGTGAGGGATTCTGCTGGTCTGACAGGGGTTAAGTATTCAGGACAGGGCCCAGCTGCCCATCTGTCCTGTGGATTCGATGGGGTGCCTTCACATTGTTCTAAAAGGTGGGCCAAGTAATTGCTCATGTCTCAGTGTGTTGTGTGACTTTGGGTGTTGTGTGAGGTATGGTGACGGTTTCTCAGGCTTAGTATGCGACTCACCCAGGACACTGTCCATGTTTGGGGCTGTGTCTAGGGGGATGGGCAGACTTCTGTGAGGCTTGTCACAGCTCTGCCCTGTCACCTGCTCAGTTCTTAGGAGTTTGAGTGTGTGTGCTACAACCCCAACATTTGCCATAAGGCAGTAAAATCAGATAAGGGGGCTTCTCAACTCTCAGAAGCTTAGGCATCACTGGGAACAGGGGGTTCTCCAAGTCCTTTGGCCTGACAGACACCCACAGAACCTGCCCCCCAGCACTGACATTTCATACCCATTCCTTTGGGATCTACAGGGGTTATATAATCAATCCCCCCAACTCCAGCCCCCTACTCAAATCTTACCAGAACTTCACAAGTCACATCCTCTTTTTAAAAAACCCAGACAAAGCCTAAACTGTCACCCAGAGAACTGAAAACTCACACAGATCTTAGATACCTTCAGCCCCCAAAGGTTATTAGTTCTGTTTTCATTTACGGTCTGGCCACCATCCTGGCTTCAATGTGCCACCTCCCCTGTTCCCTTGGAGACCTGTGACTGCAGAGACTCCAATCAGGGAGCTCAAAGTCTACACTGCACACCTTCCCCCTCAGCTCTGAGCTCCTTTGGCCATCCTTACCCCTTGCTCTTGAACTAACTATTCTCATTCTTCTAAGTCTCCATTTTCTTGTCTTAAAATAGGGGAAATAGCAACAACTAACTCCTGCCTTTATTGTGAGGGTGATAAGAAATAATCTAAAAAAAATGCTTAGTACAGTGCCTGGCACCTCCTAAGTCACAGAAGTGTGGTGGTTAGTTGTTGATTATTACATTATCTTCCCCGGCTGGCCTGCAACCCCCTCCAGCTGACCAGGTCCAAGTCTGATCTCATCCAGCCCCATCCCTGCCGGCTCCACCTCCGGGGCTCCAGACATCAAGCCAAGACCTGCAGTCATCCCAGACCCCTCCTTCTTCCTCAGCGTCCAGCTGTCCCCAAGTCCTGTCAATCTCTTCAATTCTACTTTCTGAGCCATTCACAACTTGATCTGTAACCTTCATGCCCACAGCCATCATCTGTCAACAGCCATGAGGGGTCTTCCTGCCTTCAAGCTGCCCTCTCCAGCCAACTGGCCACAAGAGGAACCTAGGGGATCTTCCAAGACCACAAATCTTATTCTCCCCTCCTCTTACACCCTCCTCTATAGCACTGAGGCTGAAATGCAAGCACTCCCTCCACCCACACCCCAGAGGGGACACACACACACACACACACACACACACACACTCACCTCAAAGTGTGTGGATTACTTGGCCCACCTTTTAGAACAATGTGAAGGCACCCCATTCCTCTCTTGCCCACTCACCCCAAAGTCCCTCTAGCACCTCTTCCCGTTTACAGGAGTGGTCAGCACACCACCTCCTCCAGGAAACCTCCTGGATCTCCTCCACTCCATCAGCTGGCCCCAATGCGGGGCCAGCCGCCTCTCCCTGTGCTGAGACGTCCTCTGTGAACCAGGAACCCCAGCACCAGGGCTGCGAGGGCCTTTCCACCGGCCTGGCCTCCGCCAGCACTTGGAGCCCCGACGTCCCGGCTGGGGTCAGCTCTGGTCCCCGCGGCCCCCGCCTGGGCACACCAGACCGCCGGGCGGACCGCGGCTCAGTGAATGACTCAGGGGCGCGCGCGGACCTCGCGGGGGTGGCGGAAGCCCCGTGGGCTCCGAGGCGGGGCTGCCTCTCGGGCCGCTCCTCCCGCCCCGACCCCCGCGGGGGGAAGTAGCGTTAGCTCCGAAGCCCGGGTCCGGTAGCGGCGCGGGGGGCGGCCTCCTCGCTCCCCCGCGCTCCCGCCGCCCACCCGCTCTTTGTCTCCCGGGCGCCCGGCCTCCCCGCCACGCGCCCCCCGCACCGGCCCTTCCTGGGGGCGCCCAGCGGACGACGCTCGGCGCATCCGCCAGCCGGGCTGGGGGTTGGCGGGGGGGCGGGGTCCGGCCGGGCCTGGCGGGCGGGGGCGGGGAGGTGGGGCGCTCTCTGACAATCTCTCTCTCTCTCTCTCTCACTCACACACACGCACGCACACACACACGCACACTCACTCACTCACACACGGAGCATCCTCCGTCAGGTCTCCTGGCCCAGCCCCGCCCGCTCCTCCCGCTTCCTGCAAACCCTCTGCTCCCCCTCACGCCCCCTCCACGCGCTCCAGGACCCTCCTCGCCGACCCCACCCCCACTCCCGGGATGGAGCGGACCGAGCCAGCCCGGAGCCCCCCGCATCCGGGGTGACGGTCCTCCGCCCTCTCGCGCCTGGTCCCCCCGCCCCGAGCACCATGGGCCTGAGGGGTTCCCGAGGCGCTGGACGCTGAAGATGACTGATGCTGGAGGTGAGGGGCCGGGACCCCAAGGACCCCGCGGTGGGCGAGGACGCCGAGCTGGCGGGCGCTCCGGCCGGTGGCGGGACCCGGGAGTGGGCTGGATGGGGCGAAGCGACCGGGGCCTTTCTTGCCCTGCCCCGAGGGGTGCCGCACGGAGCCAGGGTGCTGGGCTGTGAGGGGAGGGGGCGGAGATAGGATTTGTGTCCCTAATCCTCTCCCTCCCGCCCCGGCTGCCGGGAGAAATTAAAAAAAAAAAACAAACTGGGGAGGGGGAGGGGAGACGGCTTAACTCCTTCTTGCCTGGTGCGGTGCTGGAATGACGGATGGGAGAGAAACTAGTCGCCCTGCTGGGGTGGGGGATGGAGACCCCGGGAGTGCTGTGGGCTCTCAGTCCTCCATTCCCACACCCTCTTCAGGGGAGCTCGGAGGGGGAGTCCCCTCTTGCCTGATGCCCCTTGCCTGGGCCTTCTGGGGGGGAGGCACCCCTTTCTCTAGATCCACAATTACACCCCTCATCCCAGCCTCCGCTCCGGTCCTCCAGGCCTTTCCCAGTTGCACTTGGCTCTTGGTCTCTTTCCTGGCCTCCCCTGCTGGGCCCTCTGCTCTCCCAGGAGAGGATTCTTCTCCTCTCTGAACTCCTCCCTTGGGTGGCACTCCCGGCTGCTGGAGCCTGTCTCCACTGCTGCGTCCCTGGACCCACTCTGTCTCTTGCTCTTTCTGCCTTTCTCTAGCTCTGTGGACTATTCACCAACCTGTCTGCTGTCTGCTCCTTGTGCCCTCACTCTCTCCAGAGCCTGTACACCCTGTGTCTCTTCTTCCCCGGAGTCCCCCAAAATATTTGAGCTCACTTGCCCCTCTTTCTCCCAGAGAAGGGTCAAAGATCACTGCCGGAATTAGGACTGGGGGAGGGTGGCTAGCACGTTAATTTCCAGTTACCTGGCTGAACGGGAGTGACTGTGTGTGTAAGACTATGAATGTCTTATTTTCCAAGGCTCAGTTTTAGAAAGAGGGTGTTAGGGGCAAGGGGCCTGGCACCTCTTGGATGTTCTGCTTTCCTGAGTTCCCCCATGGCTCAGGGTAGACAGGGGCCCCAGACACCAGGGAGGGAGTTAGTGTAGAAAAGAGAGAAAGCAAGCAATCTGTGCTGATGCAGTAGGGGCTGGGCACAGATGTGAGCTGGAAGCTGACCACCTGAAAGAAGACTCCACTAGAGGGTAGCCAGCCTAGGCTGGGACCTTGGGGTCTCCAGTCCCAGGTAATCTAAGAGAGGAGGTACCACCCCGCCCTGGGGTAACCTCCACTCTGAGCTGGGAGGCAGTTCGTATCTTCAGAGTCCCTAGTCAGTGGGGCATACTGGCCCCTCTCCTCTGGGAGCTCCCATCTGATGTGGGGGAGATCCGATCCATTTAGGGAAATCAGTGAAGTAAAAAAATTCCTCATTTTCTAGTGGTAGGAGAAAGGTGGATTTAGAAATTGTACAGACAAATGGGAGGAGAGAGGGCTACCTGGGACAACTTTCTAGAGGAGCTGGGTCCTGGTCAGATGAGGATTTATGATGGATGAGGGGCTCAGGTTCATTCTTAGAGGCAGCTTCTCCTCCCATTTGGCCCTTCAGGACAGGAAAAGAGATTCTAGAGCTTCTTCACGACTAGCACCCAGAGTTCAAGAATGGCAGGAGGGTTCTTAGAGGCCCCATGTCCCTGGCTCCTTCTCACACTTCATTTCCTGCTTTCAGCCCCAAGTCTTCTTGGGGGCTGAGGCAGAGATGGTTTTGAGCCTCTCCCAGTCCGAGCCAGTATGGACCAGTTGCCCCTGTCCCTCTACCCATAGCATTACCCAGAATAAGGCCAAAGGGCAGGAGACCAGGGTCAAGGTTGTGCTCTGCCTCTTACTCCTCTATCTCAGTTTTTCCATCTTTAAAATGGGAATACTGAGAATACCATGCCTGAAAAGCACATATTGAGATAATATCTATGTAAGAAAAGGAGAGTTAGAAGAGGTGCCCAGGCACAGTGGCCTAGCTTTCCTGCACCTGTCAAAGGTTTAGCCCCGTGCCGGCCTTTTTCAAGGGGACCTGAGTTAGGAGTCCCCGGTGATCCTGTGTCAGTCTTGCAAGTGTGCCCAGCCCCTGAGCTTTCTCCCTCTCCTTTCATCCGTATTCCCCGACCCTTGAACACCCAAGCCCTGGTCTGGGGTTGTTGCAATCCTACATCTGCTGTGAAATCTGCCCACACTGTTTCAGCCACATATATCCTACTTCCCTACCTGCCCTCCTTTTTTTACTTACCACCAAAAACAAAGCCCCAAGCCCCACACCCATCCCGGAACATACACGTGTCATGGATTTTGGTTGTCCACTGTTCTTCTGTGAGAACTACTCATACCTTCCTGCATTTGTGAGTCTGTCTAGAACTCAGAGAACTGTGAATTTGTCTAGAATGGTCCCCTGCTGATGGTGCCAGCTTCCTGAGCAGCACATGTTCAGGAAGGCGGGTGGTGAGCCCACCGGTGATGCAGAGTAGGGGGAGGCAGGGCTGGAGGAGGGAGGGGTGAATGGATGGATGGGCAAGCAGGTGTATGGATGGGCAAGCAGATGTATGGATGGATACGTAGATAGGAGGTAGGTGGGTAGGCACCTAGATGGCTGGCTGGCAGAACCTGGTCTTGCTACTTACTTGATATGTCATCTTCCTCCCTGTTTCTTTATTTGTAAAATGAGGAAGATTGGATGAAATAATCTCCAATATTTCTCCCAGATTTGATGTTGGACAGTTTATGATCAAAGGTTTTTAGAAAATGCCAATGATGGCAAGATGACTTCTCTTCCTGGGGGCTGGAGTGAGTTCTAAGGGAAGGTGAGGGCTCCAGGGCCAGGAGCAAGTAGCTATGGACAGCTCTCTTGCCTCCCTCAGCCTGAACCTATTAACCAAGGTCTCTCTCTCTCTTCCTCCCTCTCTCCCTCCTCATCCTGTCCAGCTCTCTTGAGTCATGGCTTCTTCAAAGCTCCGAGAACCCACAGATGAGGTTTTTGGTAAGTCCTCTGCAACTCTATCTCTAACCAATAGACACAGTCCCCTGCATTGGGGTGATGAGAAAGTGGTAGTTCCCTTAGGGACTTCAGTGTGTGGGTGGGTGTGGATGGGTGGTGCTTTATAGCCTGATTTTGTCACCCCTCTCTAAAGGACATGGCAGTGATAACAATAAGGGGCCCCATTATCAAGTGCTTGTCTCATGCAGGTGGCTAGCACCCCATCTGCATGGCAAGAAGTGTGCCCATGAGGCAGAAGCAGACAGAGTTCTCGGACTTGCTATAAAGATCACGTGGCAGGCAGACTCCAGACCCCCTAAACCTCCCTGAGCTCAGTCACTGCTATACGCCTGTATCCCACAGCACGGGTGCCACGTGTCGCCTCCAGCCACATAAATAAGGGAACCCACCCTGCATGGGTGTGCTGGCAGATCAAGTGGATAATGCACATTCAGCCTCAGTACCCCCAGCTGGCCCCCTCTGCACACATGGCGGTGCATGCACTCCTCCCCCAGCCTACCCCATCATTTACCCCCTGCAGTCTCTCTGTTGTGTGCTTAGAGAAAGACCACCCCAGCAGGGCATTCCCAGCATGCCCCAGGGTGGAAAGGCTGTTCCCCAGCTGGACTGGGTGGAGGAGTCAGCCAGCAAAAGAACAAGGAGGATGGTGGAGGGAGAGGTGGAGTCAGAGCAGAGCAGCAGCTGAAGCCTGGAGAGTGTGTGCAACTGCAGGACGCTCCCATTTGTGTGTGCAATCTCCAGGGGCCCCAGCTTCTCCTCCTCCTCTCTACCTTCCTTCTCTCCTCCCCTCTCCTCCCCACTTCATTCTCCCCTGCCACCACCACGTGCCCTGGCATTGCCAGGAACCTCTGCCTCCTGGCTCCTGAGGATGCTGCTTCCCACCCAGCCTCTGGAGGCCCGAGGAGTAGAGGTTTGCCTCTGAGACTCTCCCAGCCTTGAACTGCCCCAGGGCCCCAATCTAAGTCTCAGATAAACCCCCCTTTCCCTAGGCTTCTCAGCCTCCATCCTCCCCACCCCCCAACCCTGCCTGTTTTCCTTCTCCCCAACCTGCTGATGTGGCTGGCCAGCCTTGCTGGCTCCCTGATGCGGAAAGGCAATTAACTATTCATGACTTCCCACAGCCCAGGGTCTGGCTAACTCCCTGCTGGGGAGACCAGGAGGGTGAGATGATGGAGATAGTGATAGAAAAAGATAGATAGACAGATGGACAGACAGACACATACACACACACACACACACACAGGTGAGAAGACTTGGTAGACCATACACGGAGAGAGAGGTTGGTCTCTCATCAAACCCCCCACTTCCTGTGAGGAGCCCCATTGCTTTCTACACCCTCAAATCAAGATGCCCATGGTCCTGAGGTGGCCTCCCTAAGTCAGACACAAAGGACCCTTCCCCCTGGCCAAGGCAGTTGGGCACCAGCGGAGTACTGGGGGATGCCTGGAAGCCAGGAGGCCAGGATGCTGTCCCAACTTCTTCTGCCCCCTTGGCCACTCCTTTCCTCTCTGAGCCTGTTTCCCCACCTGAGGGTGGGGGACTCACAAGTGACTCCCTTCTCTGCCTCAGAGGAGGAATGGCAGGCCTGGCACTTACAGACATGCCTCCAGCCAGACTGCCTGGAACCCTAGCCTGGCCCTCTCTTCACCAGCCAGATGCCCTCAGGCAAATTAAGGCTGCTCTGGGGATCCCTGGAGTCCCTGCCCTTAGGGCTGTGAGGAGATTTAAATGTGAGAGTAATTGTAAAGCACTTAGAAGCTCAATAAGTATCAGCTATTATTACATGTGCTTCAGTCCCCAGTCCTTGCTGCTTCCAAGCAACGCCTGGAGATTGTGTCAGGGAGTAGGGGACAGGGCTGCCTCTCCCAGTTTACAGCCTAGAAATACTAGAAGTAAAGTAGGGGAAGCTAAGGGGCCAGAAGCCACCACGTCTGCCCATTGCTTGCGTCTGGATGATATTCAGACACTGCGCACCCTGGTCTGCACCACCTTCTCCTTAGATGCTTCTTGTCCTTCTGACACCCTTGGCTCTTTACTGCCACCCAGATCTCAGCCTGGCTTATCACCTAGAGCAGCAGCGCCCCAGTCACTCCCCGTCTCGTCTCGTTCATCCATTTGATAAATATCACAGAGCTCCTACTATGTGCCAGGCTCTGGGGAGAAGCACTGAACCAGGCAGACACAGCCCCTGCCTTCAAGGAGCTTGAGTCCAGGGCAGCGGCCAGCAAGGAGACAGCTGACAAAAGCACGCAACTCTAAATAAGGAATGACACGTCTGAGGTAGCAAGGTGACCAGTGCAGAGGACTCGGGTGGGCAAGGATGAACGGGGGCGGGGTGTGGGGTGTGCTTGTCAGTGACCCTCAGCAGCACCTGTATGTCTGGGTCCATCTGTCTGGCTGCACACTGGTCCTGGAAGTGGGACTTTGCCTCAATCCATCAAACCCCAACTGAGGACCTGCTCTCTGCTGGGCCCCGTACTAGGCTCTCTGAGTCTACACAGCGGGCAGGAAGGACTTACCTCTGGAGTGGAACATCCCTTCCTGACCAGATCAGAGGCTGCGGCCTGATGAGGTGCTGTCCAGGGAATGATGTGCTCAAGTTCACAGCTAGAGAGGGGTGGTGAGTGATGAAGCAGAGTGAGCAGCCTGAGCAGCTGACTGGTGGGGGAGGGGCAGAGGTAGAGGCAGGTGGCAGGTGGCTGTATAAGCATTTCAGTGCTGTCCTCTGCCCCACTGGCTGGTGCTTGTTAGCACAGGCATGATGGCAAAGCACTTCAGATGAACTATCTTATTAGATGCTCACAACAACCCTATAAGAGAAATATTACTATTATAACCCCTTCTTACAGATGGGGAAACTGGTATCTAAATGTAAGTACCTTGTCCAGGGTCACCCAGCCCACAAGTGGTAAAAAGAGGCCCAGCCATTGGCCTATGCTGTCAACCACAGTGCCACACAAGAGCATGCTGTGGAGGGGAGGGATGTGGGGAACCCAGAAAGGTGGGCTGAGGCCCTGCAGAATGAAGGGCTAAGTGACATGGACTTTTATGTCGTTGGCTTTGGGATGTCCCCCTCCCCTCTGGGTTTCAAAAGCTGGAGAGTGTGGGGACAAGGTGAGTGTGGGAAACTTCCCTTTAGGAGTTTCTTATAGTTTGTGGACAATGGGGAGGGAGGCAAATTGAAGGCAGGGAGCTAAGGATGTATAGATGGGGAGGCAGTGTTTAGGGGTGGCAGGTGTGGGGGGGTGGCAGCTGGTGAAGACCTGAACTGAGGCACTTCAATTCCAAGCAGGAGGAGAAGCCAGGTTTCAGGAGTATGAGGAGGCAAATGAACAGAACTGTGATCTTCCATTAAAATAATATTTACTAAGCACCCACTATGTGCCAGGCCCTGTTTTATTCTGAGTCAGAGCAGCGAACAAAATAGAGAAGCATCTGCTCTCAGGAAGCTGACATCTAGTGGGTGGAGACAATAAAGTAATTCAGTAAAATATGCAGTGTGCCAGAGAACGGTAAAAGATATAGGACAAAATTATGGGTTGGGGTTTTCTGGCAGGGAATGTTATAATCGGGTGGGCAGGGATGGTCTCAGTGACGGTAGGCATTTAAGAGCTGAAAGAGATGAGGGAGAAAACCATGCAGAAATCTGTGGCAAGAACCCTGCTGGAAAGGGGCAGAGGAAGTGCAAAGGCCCTGAGGTAGGTGAAGCTTCTGTGAGGAAGTACCTGGAGGCCAGGGTGGCAGGAGTGGAGGGAGCCAGAGGGACAGAAGGAGGAGCTCAGAGGTTAGGGGAGCGAGGACATTCCAGGAGGCCCCTGGGAGAACTGCGGCTCTTACTCCCTGACATGGAAGCACTGGAGGACTCTGGGCAGAGCAGTGACACGAGCTGACATGTTTCATCAGGATTACTCTGCTGCTGTGTTGAAAATAGACTGTAAATGGGAAAGGCAGGAGGAGAGACCAGCTGGGAGGCTTTTGTAGTAATTGAAGGGAGAAGTGATTTCCCCTTCTCCTCTCCCCTCCCCCTTCCTCTCCTCTCTTCTTTACTAGACTGCTTTCTCTCTCTATGTATGCGTGTGTGTGTGTGTGCGCGCGTGTGAATGTGTATATACCCAGACACATGAACATATTGTGGGAACTCTCTCGTGAATCAGCAAAAGCAGAGAGCAGAGCACAATGTATCATGGGCTCATCCCTCGACCTCCACCATCAGCAACGTGTGGCCACTCATTTCCTCTCTCACATTCTACTCCTATGCCCCTGGATTATTTTGAATCTAATCCAAAACATAGTATCATTTCACCCATAAATATTTCAGTATGTCTAGATAAGCTTCCAAAGTAGAGCTAATAGGAATTGTGGATGGATCCTCTGGTTTGTAGGGTGGGAGGGAGGAGTCAGGGGCGAGTCCAGGGGTTTGGCCTGAGGGTCCGGGAGGACCGGGGCGGCCATTCCCCAGTGCTGGTGACTCAGAGGAGCAGCTGGGGACTGCTGAGGTCAGGGGCCAGTGGACAGCTATGTTGAAGATCCCGTTGGACGCCCAAGTGGAGGTGTCATGTAGGCACCTGGACACCTGAGTTGCCGACTGGGGCTGGTGCTGAGGGGGGAGGGAAGCTTGGGGCTACCTGAAGGGGTGTCTGGGTGGATAATTGGTCCTTTTGCTGAGCTGGGAACAGAGGAGAGTCAGGTTTGAGGCAAGGTGGTGAGTTGGTTTTGATGAGTTGAGTTTGAGGTGCCCAGATACCTTTGATGTGGCAAATTCCCCGGCAGGTGTGAGGTATCCAGGCTTGGAATTCAGGGGAGAGGTCAGGGCTGAAAGGAGACACAGGTGGGAGCTGAGCCCGGAGAGCAAGAAGAATGGCTGGAGGCGAGGGAGAGGCTGCACACAAGAGAAAGAGGACTAGGCGAGATGGATGGGGTCCCTGAGATCATGATGGGTGGAGTGCGGAAGAGGAACCCACCCTGAGGAGTGCAGAAGAGGAACCCACCCTGAGGAGTGCAAAGAATCTTTTCTTCCTGGAGATCCCAGTGCCAAACTCGGGGATGCTGCAGAGTAAGGACTTTGTTCTCAGGTGGAGCAACTGGAAAGTGGGACTAGGGGCAACAGGGTTTCGTGTGGTCTGTTGAGTCACCCTCCCTTCTTCCATGCTGAGCCTGGGCTGCAGACCCCAGGAGGAGAGAGACAGGACCCAAGGGACTGCCACTGGCTTATGAGGGTCCATCCGGCCCACTTCAACTGCACACGCTCTAAATGCTCAGCAGCGCTGCCTCCGAGCATGACTGGAGCCTGGCATAGCAAGCCAGTGTCCCAGCAGCTCTAGTCTCTGGACCCTACTAGTCAGGCTCAAACCCCAGGCCAGTGCTGCCTGGTAGCTTCAGGCAAGAAACTAACCCTCTCTGAGCCTCACTTTGCTCAGCTATAAATGCAGGCTAGTTATTCCTAGTCCTCTGGGCTGTTCCAAGTAGACGAGGTGATGCATGTACATTTTCTGGCCCGTAGTAGGTGCTTTGTCAGTGGTCACCACTATTGCCATGATTTCTCCAGTCTCAAGCCCCAGCCCTTCCTTCCACTAAACTACCCTCCAATTGCATTCTGGAGGTGCCAGCTCCTATCCTACTTCCCAGCATTGCATAGACCAGTTTTGCCAACCTCTTCTCTTGCAAACTCCCACCCACTCAAGCCAAGGCCCAGCTTTGAGATTTCCTCTTCCTGGGTAGCCATGCAAACAGGGCAGCCTGTCCTCCTCTGCGGCTACTCTAGGTCCTGTCAGGCTGTGTTTACAGGCTGGTATGTCTGGCTCCCCAAAGAAGGTGAGAGACCCCGCCTTGCCTGTACTCTCAGTGCCCAGCTCGCACAAGCATGCGTTGAGTGTCACACAAGCATGTGTTGAGTGTCCTCCTGAGGGCCTCGTGTGTTTGCTCTCTGCCCCCCTTCACCTGGTTTGCAGACCTAGACTTGGCTGTGCCAGAGACCGTCAGACTGGACAGCAGTCTACACAAGGCCCGGGCCCAACTACTGGCCAAGGGGCGGAGACACCGGCCCTCCCGCTCGAGGCTTCGGGACAGTGCCAGCTCCGCAGAGGACGGTGAAGGCTCTGATGGGCCCGGAGGCAAGGTTGGGGCAACTCACCCAAACACACATACCCCACCCTCCCTGCTTGTCCTGGAGGGACCCTCCAAACCACCCGTGCAGGGAAACCACACCCCTGACTTTTGAGGTAGTGATGCTGACATGCACTAGCTGCATTCACTTCTGCCTCATTTCATCCTTTTAAGGAAGGTATTACATCCCCACTGGAAAGCGGGCTCCGGGAGGCTCCTAAACAATGTCACACAGTCACTAAGTGAAGGGGGTGGGTTTAACCCCAGCCTGTGCGGCTGAAAGCCCTGCTCCCCCACCTCCCCCTGCCCAGCCACCACTCCCCTGCACGACCCAGGGGCCTCCCCCAGGCCCCCAAGGACGTCAGTTCGCAGGGTGAAACTTTCCCAGCTGCTCCCTTCCGCTCTGAAAAGTGGGGAGGCGGGCTGGCAGTGAGTGGCTGCCCCCCTTCCCAGGTGACCGAGGGCTGCGGGAGCCCCCTGCACCGGCTGCGCTCGCCTCTGCACTCCGGCCCCGGGTCCCCTGCCGGGGGCTCTTTCTGCCTGGAACCTCCGGGGTTGCGGCGCAGCTTGGACGAGGACGAGCCGCCGCCCTCACCTCTCACGCGCTACCGGCCTCTGCACAACGCCGCTTCGCACGAGGGCTTGGCCGCGGCCTCGTCTCCACCACGCTCCGCGCCCTCCTCCGACAGCTCGCCCAGCTTCGTGCGCCGCTACCCGCGCGCTGAGCCGCACAGCGAAGGTGAGCGGCGGTCGGCGGGGCGCCCCCTGCTGGCGCGCGCCGGGACCGCAGCGGCGCCTCCCGGCCCCCGGGCACTGAAGCGCCGGGGTGGGACCTGGTGGGGCAGGACGGTTGGAGAGGGAGGAGAGGAAACCCCAGGGCGCGTTCATTTCTTCACTGAGCACCTACTGTGTGCCAGACAGTTTTGGGCATGAGGACACGCAAGTGAGCAGACATGCATCCCTTGTCTTCATGGGCTTCTAGTTACAGGGAGAAACAATCAAGTAATTCTTTACCGTTCAAGGGGAAGTGCTCAAAATGTCACCTAAATCTGTAGTTACGCGCTGTAAGAAGGGCTAGGCAACGTGCCTGGGGTGCCTGGGGGCGGGAGATATGACTCTCAGAGTAAAAGGCCTGGGCTGAGAGCATCCTGAGAGGCTTCTCTAAGGGAGTGGCGTGTGAACCAAGATTAGCAGACTGGCTAGAAGTTGGCCAAGAAAAATTGACAGTAAATAGTAGTGGTCCCACCTTCTTATGGTGGTTTAGGGTCTGTGGGAGGTTGTCATGAGCGCAGGTTGGGTTCTGTGAAATAGGCGGGTGTTACATCCCCATATTTGAGATGAAGGCGCTCAGAGGTTAAGTGACTTGTGCTCAGTTTCACTAGGTGAAGGGCACAGGAGTGGGGGTGCCTGAGTCTAATCGAGAGAATTTCTGCTTCACACTGGCCACTGAGAGGCAGGTGAGCCACCACACAGGCTGTTTCTTTCCCTCTCTCCCCCACAAGATGACAGCCGGGATGCCAGCCCGCCGGAGCCTGCCAGCCCCACCATCGGCCTGGATAAGAAGACTCGCCGGAAGTTCCTGGACCTGGGGTCAGTGGAGGAGGGACCAGAACAAAGGCATGGAGCTGTCTGGGGTAGGGGAAGCACAGTAGGCAACACTGCCCCAAGCCCCTTTGTCCTCCCCACAGGGTCACCTTACGCCGAGCCTCCACTAGCAAGACCAGGAAGGAGAAGGGCAGCAACCGCCTGTCCATGGGCAGCAGGTACGTGGGCCTCAGCCACAGCTTCAGCCGCAACGCCCTCAGGTCCTTGGCCTCAGCCTCTGCCCACAGCTCACCCGACCTTGCTCTTGGTGCCCACACTCACACAGGCTGCTCTCTCCACAGGGAGTCGGTGGAGGGGTCCAGCAGGGCAGGAGGCTCCCCGTTCCTGCCCTTTTCCTGGTTCACAGACAGTGGCAAGGGCTCGGCATCCTCTGGTAGCACCATTTCCCCTGCCTGCTCCCCTAAACACGAGGGCTTCAGCCCTAAGAAGTCAGCTTCTCAGGTGAGTCCAGGATTTCTTGTCCCCAAACTGGTCTGCACATCAGGTGACACGATGGTCACCCTGACTCGGGCTGATTTAGGTGTCCTCGGGCCCATCTATCTGCCCCAGTTCCTGGATGAACCTGGACCAGTCAGCAGGTGGGCCAGTGGCTGCAAGCCTCAGCCCACACAGCCACCCAGTGCTTCATGAAGGCTTCTGCCCTGAGTTCATGCCTTCACTCTCCCACTCCCTCATGTGCTCAGTAGCTCTTTGTTGACTCATTCATTGCTTCATTCATTCAACAGACATCACTAGCGGAGACCTAGCCTGAGGTGCCTCCATTCCCGCTGGCTGTCCTGCTGGGGCAGTGCTAGCTGTGCATCCTTAGAGCCGGCCTACTGCGTGCTGGGGTTAGGCTTGGGGGATAGCGTGATGAATAGCTAGCTAGGTTGGTGTCCTCGCTGGATTTGGTAATCAGGCTCTATGAGCCCAGCCCAGTGCTGGCTCTGTGGTTCTGTTCCTTATGCGCAGCTGGGGTTAGGGGCCTTGGTGGGCAGGCAGAAAACAGGGACACTGACCTGGCTTCCGGGGGATCCTTGTCCGAGATGTCCTTCATTTCTGCTAACGATTATCCCTGGCTCAGCTCTGGTCCTGGGCCCTTCCAGAGACCTCAGATCCTGATGCCGCACACAGGTCCTCCTGTCCTGTGTGCCTGGTTCTTGCGCAGGGGGCACCTAGCAGCTCCTGGTGGCCAGGCCTGAACTCCAGCTTCATCCGGATGGGGTGGTGGGATGGGGGGGACTCCACTGGGCTGGAGGGTGAGCTCTCTCCTCAACAGCATGCACTCCTCCTAACTAGGAATCCACCCTGAGTGATGACTCCACACCCCCTAGCAGCAGCCCCAAGATCCCAAGTGGTCCCCGGCAGGAGGCCAAGTGTTCCTACCCCTACCACACGCTGTCCCAGTCTTCGGATGAGGTGAGCAAGCCCTGACCTCTGACTCTGCCTGATACAGGCCCCAGGCCAGGCCCTTCTGCTCACACACCTTGGTCTCTACCCCAGTTCCTTGATGAACCTCTCCCTGCCGTTCACCACTGGACCAGTCAGCAGGTGGGCCAGTGGCTGCACAGCCTCAACCTGGAGCAGTATGCTGCTGAGTTTGCTGCGCGGCAGGTGGACGGGCCGCAGCTACTGCAGCTGGATGGAAGCAAACTGAAGGTGGGTCAGAGTAGAAAAGCTGCGACCCAGCAACCACCAAAGTATGGGACCCCTTCATCTTGACCTTTTTACTCCCTCCAAGGCCACTCTCCTGACCTCTGGCCTGTAAGCAAGGTTCTTGGCCTACTTTCTTACTCTAGCACGGATCCCAGTCTGACTTGAACCTCAAGTTCAAGTCTCTGGTTTGACTTTTAGACTCCAGACCAAATTTTCAGGTTCCCCTTGATCTCTAGGATACTATCATCTGACTCAGCTCTACTGAATCAGTGTCCTGGCCTCTCCCAGCAATTTGTCTGACTCTCAGTCATGGAGGCTGGAGGTAGTAGAGAGGCGAGATTAGGGGGCTCTGCTCTTTGCTAGGAGGCTTTGGGATTGATTCCCACTCTGCCAAATTGCTTAGGGAAGAGTGGTGAGGAGAGGGGGGACGGGCCTTGGCTATTTTGTGACCTTAGGCAAGTCACTGTCCATCTGTGGGCCTCATGGAATTGGGCACATTGGAGGAGTGGAGCCAAGGCTGGTGGAGGGTGATGAGCAAAGGGCCCTGGACCTTCACCGTCACCTCTCCCAGCCACTCCATTCCACACTCTTGCCCTGTGGATTCTGCGCTGTGTGCAGGTCTGCCTGGTAGAGGCCACGCCTCAGGGAGTTGCTGCAGGGCCCCAGAAAGTATCCTCAGGGCACCGAGAACCTGGGGCTTGGGCTGGCAAGGGCCCAGGTGCTTCTGGGGATCTTTCCCTCACCCTTGAATTCCTCCCCCAGAGTCTGGGGCTCAGCAACGCGCATGACAGGGCGCGAGTGAAGCGGAAGTTGAAGGAGCTGGCAGCGGCTGCTGAGAAGGAGCGCAAGGCCCAGGAGAAGGCTGCACGGCAGCGTGAGAAGCTTCGGCGCAGGGAACAGGACACCAAGAAGAGCTAGGGGGGCAGGGACAGGCACTGGCACCCAGGCATGGGCGGCCAGCTCACTGGGCACAGGCCTCACCAGGAGGCAGGCCGTGCCCACATTCTCAGGGGGTACACACACCCTCTCTCACCCTGTCACGCTGTCTGGGCCCAGATCCCCCAGGAAGGGAAACCCAGGGAGAGGGGCCAGTAATAAATCCAATTTCAAGGACTTGTTTGGCACAGAGTTCCTGGGGGGCAGAGGTCACTTCTGAAGTAAGTCTGGTAGCCCAGAGGTGCCCGGATCAGTCTGACCCCCTGCCCTCAGGCCAAAGTGGTGCAGGGGCCAGCGGAGAGCTAGGCCTGCCAGCCTGCCTTGGAGAGGCCCCGACATGGGGCCAGGGCCCGGGGCTGAGAGGTAGGTTGAACACCTTGGCAGGGGTCGGGGACAGAGTTGTTCTCTAGCTTTCCAGGGGCTGTGTGTTGGGGGGCTCTGTTCTGCTCCTCAGAGAACAGGCAGTGCACTGTTCAGAAGTCACACTCAGGGTAGCGTCCAGTCCACACTCCTCAGCAGGAGAGCAGAAAGCAGCATGGTGTCCCCATGCAAGCTTTGCAAGGACTTCAGGAGATGGGGGGATGAAAACCTCCGCCTTCTTTCCCCTCTCCCGCCTCTGGGTCCCCTTGGTGAGTGACATCCGTGCTGGGCTGCCCCTGTTAGGGTCCATTTGGCCTGGCCTTGGCCCACTTTCCAAAGGGGCCCCCACTTCTGCTGTTCCCTCTGGGGAAAGAGCAAACATGGGAGCTGGTGGGAAGAGGCCACCCCCCTCCTTGGTCTAGGTGTTCTGAATTGGAAAATCCTTACCCCAGCCAGGCAGAAGCAAGATCTTGGAGGTTCCTTGCAAGCTACTAGGTTAGAAGGGTTCACTGGCCCTCTCCCAACTGCCCTGGTCCCTGTTGGGGCCTTCGTAGGTTCCAGAACTGGTGGTGTGGGCTCTGGTTCATTGGGCCACAAGGAGGGGGGCCAACCCCTGGGTGGGGGTGGCATCTGTCCTTGTAGAGGGCACGTTAGGTGTGGAGCAGTCAGCAGCCAGCCTGGCCTCTGGGACACTGGCCTGAGTCACCAGCAGGGTCAGGGTCTTCTCACTGCTGCAGTGGTGGGTGGCCCAGTGCAAATGGACCCCCTCATTTCTGCCCTGGGACATGGCCCTGGAACTCAGCCTTTTCTTCCACTCTGCTGTCTGTTGGGAGAAGGGCTTCTGAAGGAAACTGAGATATGGGGCACTGGCACCATCTGGGCCTGATGGAGGGGCTGGAGGGAGGTTGGGAGGCACCCGGTCTTTGAGGCCGTCCAGAACTACCCGGGTGCCCACCTGCATGTGACGGGGGGAGGTGGTACTCAACTTATTTCAATAAACACTTATGATGTGCCAATGACCTTTCTGTGCTCCAGTTGGAGGGCTGGGCAGGGCTGTGCCTGGAGTATGCTGGGGTACCCTGTCTGGGGCACTGTGCTGGCTGTGCCTGCTGTTGCCCTAGGGGTACACAAGGGTTCACGTCCTGAGTGGGCTGGGTGGCCCGAGGGCACTGTATGTCTATCACAGTGACTGCAGCCCTTGTGCCTGTGCACACACGGCCCCCCTGCGTCCCCCAGGAAAGCAGCCAGACCACAGTCTCATTCCATGTCTTTACTGTGGATATGGGCGGCACGTCACAGCCACTGGGGGAGCACACGACTTTAGTCCCCTGTGTGCTAGGGGCAAGGAGTTGTTCCGGGCTATAAAACTAGCTATGTACACAGGGCATCCTAGAAGACAGTCCCCCGGCGGGTGCATGTTGGGCCACAGTGGGAGTCGGGGCTGGCACTCAGGCAGGGCTATGTGGGTGAGGTGGGCACGTGAGGACATGCGGGGCAGGGGAGGCGGCAGAGACACTGCTGGGGCCTCGGGTGGGGCTTCGAGCAGCGCAGTAGCCTCTGGTGTCCCCAGGTTCCTCCATGATGGGGGAATCCCTGGGTGAGAACACCCCCTTCTCCACCTTGACCTCAGTGCTCAGAGTGGAGGAAGAGGTGGTGGGACCAGACCAGGTCCTCGTGGTGGCCCAGGGTGCGACCTCTTCCGCACTCACCACCCCAGGCCTGAGGATACGCAGCCCTTCCTAACACTGACCACGGTCCAGGGCCAGGTGCCCATGCGGGACAGGGGAATAAGGCAAGCAGGGGTGTCCATTTGGAAAACCTGGGCTGTGAAGGGCAGTGAGGGGGACCTGGGATCCCTGGAAAAGTGGCAGCCCTGGCCTCAGGAGGAGGACTGCCATGGAAACATCTCTGGGATATCCCATCAGGGTGGAGACACCCCCAATCCTCAGGCATCGCCCACAGAGATTGGCCACCAGGGAGACCACCTAGGAGTCTCAGTGGAGACAGAGATTGGCACTTAGGGGCCACGACAGACCAGTCACCGCAGTGATTCCCTAGACAGAAGCTGGTCATCAGGGGGAGCCTCCCCTGCCCTGGGGAGGGTCCCCGTGGTGACCAGTCCCGGAGACAGCAGTCCACACCCATGGGAGCAGCACGCCCCTAGCTGACGCGGTATGTGGACGTGTTCTTGGGCTCCGTGCTGGGCACGCACCAGTCGCCTGCCTCCTGGATGGTCTGGTAGTGGCGCCAGGCAGACTTGTTGTAGACAGGCAGGCGCTCCACCGAGTCTGTGGACAGGGCCTGAGGGGCAGCAGGGTCAATTCTCCCGCCTCCCTGAGTCTAGCCACACTGTGGGCTGTGGGGGCCACTGACCAGGCCCACACAGGCCACCCCTTATCTGAGTCAGCGAATCAGGTGACTCAGCCCAGAGAGACCCATGGAAGGGTCTGTCCTTCTGTGTCTTGTTCCTGCCCGTTCAAGAAGTTTGCCCACCCCAAAGTCAGGGAGGGAGAGGAAGGAGGCTGGGCTGTGTGACCTTCAACAAGGTCACCAATTCTGGGCCTCTGTACCCCCAAGCTGAATGACAAAAATCTCTGTGGTTCCCCTCCCTGCAGGGTCTGACAAGTCAAGGGTTCCCAGAACAGGGGTCTTAATCATGGACCATGGACTCCCTGAAATGGCCTGCCAAGCTGGGGGTATCTAGGGTTGGGGAACTGCAGCTTTGCTCTGATTCTCAGGAAAGGATCAGAAGGCTGGAACTGAAGCCTAAAAGCAGGCCAATCCTGCCCGACCCATCAGCAACAGGACCCAGGGCAGGGGCCTTACCTTAAGATAGATGACGGCGTCGGTCCCAAAGCCCTCCATGGAGAAGAGCTGCAGGTCCCCCTGGAAGTACTTGGCATACAGGCGGGAAATGGGGAGCCCATAGCCAAAGCCGGCCTGCAAGGGGCAGGAAGAAAGCAGGGTGAGGCAGCTGTGCTGATCTCCTGGAGCTGCAGGGGGCAGAGGTGCTGGCTGAGGAGTACTGGGGTTGGAGGGTTGTAAAGGGGAATCCCCAGAAGGGGTGAGAAAGAGGAGAGAAAGAAGATGGGCATGAGGGGTGAGGGGAGAAGGTGAGGAGGCACAAGGCGAGGACAGGTAGGTGGGGGCTGGGCGGGTCAAAGGGCTTCTGTGAGCCTCGATTTCCCCATCTCAGCCCTCTCCTCCGCTGGAAATGGACAGGGAGGTGCTGGTGAGTTGAACATGCCACAAAAAAGGTAGTAACTTGGGGGGAGGTAAGGGCAGAGGGAGAACTGGGGAAATATGACAGTCACCCACAACAGGGAGAGGGGTGCAGGCTGGGGAGAGATGGGAGAAGGGAGGCCCGGACAAGGGAAAGGTGACAGACGTCACACACAGCCCCACAAGCATGGAGAGGCCATGGGAGACAGGAAGCCAGAGGCGGGGAAGGGCAACGGCTCGATGAGAAGAGGAAAAGGCAGACAGCGGGTAGGAGGTGCTGAGTGAAGTCATCTCACCAATGGGGTTCCCCCAGTGCCCGGCTGGGGCGTGGGTGCTGTGGAGTACATGTAGCTGAAGAGTCGCTCAATCTTCCTCAAGGGAACACCCCCACCTCGGTCACTCATCTGGGGAGACAGGATGTGCCAGGGCCTCTCCGGACCTCAGTTTCCACACACCCCCGCCCCGTACCCCTGACCTCGTGGTCTCCCCATCCTGAGGTCTTCTCCAAGTGCAACTCCCAGCAGGAGCAAAGTCCCCACCCCACAGTTCTGTGGTCCCTGAAGTCAAAGGTCACATACTTTGATGGACAGATCTTCCTCCCCCAAGGCCACCATGACCTTGATAGGTGGGAGGACCAGGCTGGACTCGTGGCTTTCCACTGTCGCCCGCATGGCATTCTGGGGAGTGGAAGGGGGAGAAAAGGAGAAACAATGAGAAACACCTAGTGCTGAGCACCCTCCATCCGGAAAGGGGCGTCCCCCGGCCTCCTCACCTTGAAGAGTTCAAAAAGCATGTGATAGAGGTGGGAGGGCACGTAGACCATGTGGATTGGCTGTTTGGTGTCGGATGCTGCCAGGGCATTAAGACCAGAGATCAGGAAATTGTCAAGTGGTCACAATTCAGCATCGCTTCACCCCGCAGTCAACCACCCATTCAGCATTCGTTCATTCACCCACCATTCATCCAGTGTCCATTCACCCACACACCTATCCACACGGTACCCATCTTTAGCTGTGTGTCTGTCCATCCATCCATTCATTAAACCTATCTACCCATCCAGCAGCCATTAACTCCTCTACCCACTCACCCAGTGTCCATTCCACCACACATCCTGCAGTCCAGGCATCTGTTAAACCTCTATCCTCCTCATCTCTCCTTCAGAGTACAGACCCATCCACGCCTCCACCACTGGTTCACCCATCTACCCATCAATCACCCATTCCAATAAAATCCACCTATGCTATATCCAGCCAGTGACTAGCACACAAATCCTCGGAGAGCTTTTTCACCCAGGGTGGAGGGAAAAGGGTGCTTCCTGGATAATTTTGACAGCAGCACCCTGTTCCCCAAGAACTACTCTAGCTGGCAAGTTTCTTGGTGGTAGGGACTGCCGGTCTGTTTCTGGTGCCCAGCAGAGAGCTCTGCATGTAGCAGTTCAATAAATGTGCAACCGGTCAATGAATGAAGGGATCTCCAGCCCTGTGCCTGGCGAGAGAGAGCAGCGACACTCAGCCCCACCCACTCAGAAGACCAAGCCCAGAGAGAGAAGCACACAATGGCCCACAACAGTCCTCCACACTGGCTGCTGCACCCTGGGCTTCACTGTGGGGGCAACTGAGGCAGTCACTTGCCCTTTGGACTCTGCCCCCGAGTGACACCAACAGGGCCGCACAGAGCTATACCTGGGGTGGGCAGCGCCTAACTGTCTTGTCTGGGGGGCCTGGGAAGGCTTTTCCGAGGAGCTGGACTTGAACTGGGTCCTAGGGAAGACTAGGGTGTGGGTAGGGTGACTTCGAAGTACAGAGGCAAGATACACTGCAAGCTTTCAGCACATGGGCAGGTGCAAGAGGGAGAGGGAAGAGGTAACTCCCAGGTCCCTGCTGCTCCCCACCTCTAAGGCCCTGGCTCTTCTACAAGGCTTGACACCTCTACCTCCCAAATAGTTATCAATTAAACCCACCCCTTCCATTCATCAACACTGCCCTCCCCTCCCCCTGCCTGGCTTCCTGTCATAACCTCCTAACAGGTCTTCCCATGTCCTCTCCAGCCTCCTCCACCCCCAAGTATCTTTGGAATGTAACTCAGACTTGTCAGCACCGTGCTTCAAGCCCTTCAGACCCTTCAAGCTGCACTCGAAATCCTGTCCATGGCCAGGGTCTGCACACCGCAGACCGTCTCTGCCCCTCATCAGCCCTTCAGTCCCCCAGCCCAGCACACTGCTCCATCTGGGCCTTGAACACCTTATTTAAAGGAGGACCCTGCAGTCATCCTTCCTCCTTTTATAGTAACAGACACCTTCTTCCCCAATATTTTAAGTGGGCGCGTGGCTGCCCATGCAGAGCCTGAACTCCTAGCCTCTCTGCTGCTGCAGCAGCGAGGGCTATGGACCCGACTGTTCAACAATACACTGGGCTCTCCCTGGACACGAGGCAGGAGAGTGGGGAGCTGGCCTGACCATTCCACCCTGGGGGCTAGAGAGACAGAAACGTCTCTTTTAATGAAACTACTGTTATTTGGATTCTGGGAAGGCAGACAAGCTGTTGTCCTAGCTAAGCCACTGCTTGCTGTCCTGTCTCTCCAATTTATTTCCTGTCTGTTAGTCATCACAATCTGAAGTGGTCTTGTTTATTTGTTCACTAGTTAAAGGCCACATCCCCCACAGTACCAAGAATGTAAGCTCCATGAGAACAGGGACTTTGTCTTTTCAACTGCATAATAACTATTGATATTTAGCAAATGGATTAATAGTAAGGACAATTAAAATAATACATGGGGCCTCCCCGGTGGCGCAGCGGTTGAGCGCTGGGTTGCGAAGCTGCCCGTGGCCTCTGTGGCGCAGGTTTGATCCCCCGCTGCTCCCCTGACACCGGAGGAGGGTCCCACATGGCGCGCAGACCTCTCCTGCCGCCCGCTGCTCCCCCCAGCAGTGTACTTCGGTCCTTCTGCCTGCTGTGCTCCCTGCTCTGGCTCTGGTGAATTCTCTCACCCTCCCGCGCTTCTGACTGTACCCAGTGCTTGTATAAACAAAACAAACAAATAACTAAATAAATAAAACATGCCTCTATTAAAAAAAATAAAAAATAAAAAATAAAATAATATATGAATAGCTGCTTCTCTTCTGCTCAGAAGACAATCCATTTCCTGATGCCACGTCTAACCTTCCTCTCCCATGTCCTCACCCTTAGACAGACAGATAGACACACACACACACATACACACACAGCCTTACCATTGACCTCCTGGATCTCCAGGTCAGGGGAGGCCATGTAATACTTGTCGCACAGGAGCTTGGCCATGTCATAGGCATCTAAGAGAGAGAGGCCACTCAGGGAATGGGGTGTCCCCTCCAGTAGGCAGCCCTTGGCACTGACATTGGGCAACACCAACATTAAACCCATGGGTAGGTGGTGCCCACCATGGGGAATGAGTCACTCCCCTGACCAGCGAAGCTAGGAGGGCTCATCAGGTTCCTCTGCAGCCAAGGGAGCCAGGGGCGCGGCCTACCTTTCACCACATCGGAGACGTTGCAGTTGGGGTCAATGCTGCCGATGTGTTTTGGGTGGGCTGGGTTGGTGCTGCCATCAAAGATCAAGGCTGGGGGAAGGAAGGGTGCTGCTGGCAGGGCCCCAGAGCCCACCCCAACATTCCCTCTCCCCCAGCACTCTCCAGCTCTCTCTCTTTCTAATGCCTCTCACCTGAATGCTGCACACCCTCAACCCACACCCCCTCAACCTCCTGCCCTCTCTCCCCTGCTCTGACCCCCCCATTCCTGGCTCTGACCCCCCATTCCTGGCTCAGCCTTGGCAGGCCTGAACCATTGTTCTCCAGGATCTCATCCCACATTGTAGTTATTCTTCCCTTTCCCTATACCACTTAAAAAAATTTGCCGTCTTGTAAAGGATGGGATACTCCTGAAATGAGGACCTAAACAACACAGTTTCCTTATGTGATGACTTTTGATGCCTATGACCTCTGATGGTCACTGCATTTAACACTTTTTAAAGAGATGAAGTGATTTGGCCTCTGTAAACATCTCAGCCCTAATGGCGAGGTGGCCACGGCAGTGCCCCTCCGCCGCGCGCTCACTGTGCTGGTTGATGAGCATGCGGATGGAGATGCGGCTGAGGTAGAAGCGGTCCAGGAAGTACTGAATGTTCTGGTTGGAGACGGGGTCGTCGCCGTAGGTGTCCTTGTACTCCAGCACGCCCTGTGCCATGGTGGGCACCACATCGTTGTGGCGGTTCCGGATGATGACCAGTGCGTCGGTGAACCTGCGGGGGAGGGTACACATAGGCCCCCACCCAGTTCCAGCCCCAGGTCACCCTCCTCCCACACCCCCTGCTTCTGATCTTCATTCTTGTGTCTTCCCTCACCTCCACCCTTCCTACTGACAGACACCAGCGTCCTCCACACTCCTCCCCAAGCCTGCCCTGACTCCCCCACGGCCTGTGTGACCACCCCCAGGAGTGGGTCCTGGATCCCCACATCAGACTCAGGGCACACAGAGGACGGGTCTTCCCCCCAGACTGGATACCCCGCAGGGCAGGAGTCATTCCTTCCAACCTGCTAGTGTCCTGCCCCAGGGCTATGACCAAGGTGCCCCTGGCCTGCATCTGCCTCCCACTCCCAAGCAGGGCCCTTCCTCACTGGCTCAGGGTACGATGGTCCTCGGGGTCCTTGTCCAGAAACTGCATGATGTCCAGGAGACTCTGAACATACCTGTGTATGTGTAGGAGAACCTTGCTCAGCTCGAGCCAGGAGCCCCCGCCCAACTCACAGGTTTCACCCTAGTTCTGTCCCTCCTGGGGTCACCCGCAGAGCTGCGCTGGGTAACAATCAGCCTCGCCAGTTTTCTGTTTCATCCATAAGTGCATCTCCCTGACAACACAGCAAGTTATGCCAGAAAACCTCTAATTTATTGGTCCTCTTTATGGCATTCTTGCTTTGGAATCCCAGAGCAGTGCCTCAGAAGAGGCTGGGAGGTCATCCCAACCACATGTTCTCACCGATTAGGAGGCTGAGGCCCAGACTGGAGAGGGGAGCTTGACCAAGGGCCAGCAAAGAGGACACCAGGCCAAGTGGGCCAGGGCTGGGCACTAGGAGCTGTCACTCTGCCTCAGGGCCTGGATGGTGGATGGGGAGCGTGGGGTAGGGGTTAGCGCATGGGGTTGGGGTAGGCACATGCCCAGCTTTGTCCCTGGGTGGGGCTGGAGCCCATGGAGAGCCTGGAGAGCTCTTTCTACTCCAAAGGGCCCCCATTATCCCCTCCGTCCACATCTGGTCAGAAGGTCAGTTTCCCCAGGACCTTGAAAAGAGCTGGGCAAGCAAAGGGAGCGTGGGGTGCCCTGAGCCAGGAAGGCCAGGCACTTCTGCAAGAGGGTCAGGTCCGCTGAGGCAGAAGGTGCCCACTGGTGCCTTCTGCTGTCACTGCTTCTCAGTGAGGATTAAATGTGATCACTGCACAGCACGGAGCACACAGCGCGCACTCCCGAAACGTCGCCTCCTTATGAGTGGTGCTTTAAGCACTGTCAGCAGTTCAGGGCATCTTGAGTCTCTGAGCAGCACGGACCCCCTCTGCCTGCTTGTGCTGGGCACAGGCTCCAAATCACACTGCGCTTTAGTCTGTCATGCTGTGGTCAGCACCAATGGCAGGATGGACTTGTCTCAGTCCTGGCGCTCCTGGTCTGCCCTCCCAACCAGGGCTGGCAAAGCGTGTGACAGGAGGTGGCACTGTTGAGGATGGGAGGGGAGCACCAGGGGCAGGAGCAATCCACTGGTGCCCAGCAGACAATCCTCATCCTCCCTGGAGCATAATGCGCATCAAAGCCCACCCCAGCTCAGAGTCCACACAGGCTCCCACCCCGCCAGCAGCCTTCAGCGTGCAGTATTGCTCCATTTTGGGGGACTAGGAAGCCAGCTCAGAAAGGGCAGGTGATATATTCCAGGCCACACAGTCAAGTGGTGGTGCTGGGATTCAAACCCGGGTCTGACTGACTCCAAGTCTATACCATACAACCATCCACTCAGCAATCTACACTGGTCCTAACAGCGGTGCTACTGACGTAGATGCAGTGGCAGCCAGCAGCCTGGTGTCAAGGCCCTGCTCTGTGCCTGCCTGTGCTCCCCCTCCGACCTGTACAGTGACCCCTGAGGAGGCGCTACGCTGGGCCCATTCTATAGATGAGGTGTTAATGTGCAGAACTGGGATTCTCTCTGCAAGGTCCCATGCCTCCACCCCCAAGCTCCCTGGCCACACCCGGGACAGAGCTCCAGAGGAGGGGCTAGGGGAGAGGACCGGTAAGTGGGCAATGCTGGGGCAGGAAGAGGAAAGGGGGAGCAGCTGGAGAGCGGGAAGTCCTATCCCAAGAGCTGGGGGGAGGCAGACAAGGAGGGAAGGGTTGGAGCAGAAGGCCCTGACTCACTTGGCCGTTGTTTGGTGGGAGTGGGGGAAGTGGAATGGGGGGTGGGAGCGGATGGGGGTTTGGGAGGAGGATCAGGGTCCGAGCAGCCAGGGTAGGGCCTGGGCTCTAGCTGTTGGTGCAGCCTCTCTGTGGCTGCCAAAAGGAACCCTGTGGGGTCACATGACTAATGAAGTAGAGCACAAGGTACCAGGAGGGACTGAGGGCTGGGGGCTCAAGCTCAGTCTCCTGAACTGTGAGGCAGGGCAACAATTCCTGCTGCCTCCCCATCACTCCTGCAGAGGAGGGGTCCTGGGCGTGCTGTGGGAAGGGAAAGGAGGGGATGAGGATTTTCCCTGGAGGCCCCTGCCCTGGCCTGAAGCCCCCCATGGACCCAGCACACCAGATTTTGCAGAGACCAGACCCTGGGCCTAAAGGGAGAGATGCTGAAGGGAGCAGCATTGGCTCCTGGGCAGCCCTCTTCTCTGAGGGCCAGAAAAAGACCTGGGCTTAGACACAGGAGGTGTGAACGCAGTGGTGCGATGACAGATGTTGTCACTCGTCACTGTTGGGTTTACTTGCTCTGTCAGGCAGAGTAGGTGGTGGGGCCCATGGTGATGCCACAGGGAGCGCCTCGGCCTCAGCAGTAAACAGTCTGCCTGTCCTCACCCACGGAATGTGGAGGCCCTCAACCCTGCTTTCCAGGGCTGTCTAGCCAGTCCAGAGCCCTGGATTTGTGTGGGGAAAGGGGTGGCATCTGGGAGAGGTGCAAGGAGTGTGGGTGGGAGTGTGCACGTGTGTGCATGGGCATGAGGTGGGGGGAGGCAGCACACACAAGCTTGTGTGGGAGCAGGGCAGAGTAAGCCTGTGCCCCTGCATGTGTGCGGGTGTGAGCACTGTCACATTAGTGCCCACAGCTGCTGGTGACAGGAGTATGCACAAGGCAATGACCGTGCGAGGATGGGAGGGGACACATGTCCTGCATCTGGAAGTGCCCCCTGGAAGGTGGCAGGCACCGGCCCTGAGCCAGGCCCACTTAGGTCCTATTGCTGGCTGTGGCCCAAAGAGGCCCCTGTCCACAGAATGGGTTTTAGGCAGTCAGCACTTGGGACTGCAGTGCGGGGAAAGGAGATGCAGGTCGCGGCTCTTGGGAGTATGCAAGGAGAGGTGCAGGGACTCAGGGGGAGGGCTTGCCTAAGCCCCAGTCCCGGGCCGGCACAGAGCAGGCCTCGGGAGCCCACAGCCATGCTGTAGTGATTCTTCTCAAGCACCAGGACTGGTTCCTGTGGGGGGGTGGTGGGCTCCTTCCCCCGGCCCAAGGCTGACAGGCAAGGGAAGTTCATGAGAAGGTGCTGGCCAAACCTCCCAAACTGTACCCCCACTCCCACCCCAGGACTCAGTGATAGGAGTGACTCTTGATTCGACTCTTGACTTGATTCGACTCCGAGACTCTCCCTTAACCCTCCGTGTTCTGGAAGCACTTCCCCTCCTGCTGCACACTCTCCCTCAGCTCTTTCTCTCCTGAGAGGAGTTCGAGTTACCCCGTCTATGCTCTAGACAGGAGCCGGCACACAAATTTCTGTAAGCTCCTCCCTCCCATCACGCTGAGCTCCGAAGCTTGTGTTTGCAGAGCTCTGCAAACACATCTTAGAAAGAAGAATGGGTCCCCATTTGACAGATGAGGCAGCTGAGGCTCAGCAAGGCAGTGTGCTTTGCCAAGGACGATGCATCTAGAAAGTGGCAAAGCCTCCAAGACAGGCACGCTGACACCAGGCCCTGGGCTTTCCACTGCCTTCCAGTCCCTTCCCAAACAGAGTCCTGCTAGACCAGGGTGTCCAAGTCTGAACTAATTTATCAGATTTACTTAGAATCAAGAATCTTCAACTTGCCCACAGTAATTCCTGCCCAGAATCTCTCACCAGCTGAGTACAAACTCTATTACCTCTCACCACTTATTAATTATTACCACTGTTGCTACTAATAGCATTTGGACAGGACTTTCCTGTTTTCAAAAAGGGAGGTTTTGCTCCTTACTCTTTAGACTCTGAGGTTAGTGACCCTTTGCCAGGCTCCTTGCAGGTCACCTCCTTGTCCCATGCAGACCCAGCCTCTACCCTCTACTGCCTGCAGCACCCGAGCTGGCAAGGGGCTTCTCCTGGAGGAGGAGTTCTGCATTGTGCACTCTCGTCCCTGTCAGGAAGATCTTCCTGCCCTCAGACCTCAGTCTCTCTTGCTGCAGCTGATGCCCATTCTCTGGAACAATCTCAGGAGGCTGTCTCCTCAGTGTGTCGGGACGCTCCAGCAATCCCTTGGCCTGCACCCCTCTACGCTGAATCATCCACCGGGCAGTGTTCACTCTTGTCTAACTCCACTCCCTCCTGCTGTTGCTTGTCACCTCTCCCAGTCTTTGAGGGAAGAATCAGTCATGCCAAGCTCCCACGTGGGGTAGCTGATTCTCAGGAAGGTCTTCTGTCGGGGGCACAGAATGTTATGGGCAGCTCAGCAGTTGCTTGCTCCACCCCCCTTGTACCCCTCCAGCTCTCCCAAGAACACAGTGTTCAGGGAGGGGCTGAGAAGCCCTGTCCTGGAATCAGGGGCCAGCTGGAGAGGCAGCCAGGTCTAGCAGCCGGACAGACTGGAGGAGGTGAGGAGAGAACAGATGGCACCTTCTGTCTCCTCCCTGAAACTTCCATAACTCCCCACGGCGGGAAATGCTGCTTGGCTCAGAGGTCCTGGATAGCTGTGGTTCAGGGCCCAGCGAGGGTGACCTGGTTGGGCTGCGTGAAAATCAGCCTTGGCCCTCTGCCCGCCCATCCCACCTCCACAGGCAGCCCAGGATGGACTATACCCACAGAGGAAATTCTGGATGCCCGAGCCAGGCTCTTTCCTCCTCCACACCTTCACATAGCGGCTCCTTTGGCCTGGAATGCCCTTCCCTTCTGTCTGAGGTCCAGGCTCACCAAGAACCCTGCAGGGTCCAGGGACATTTCACCTCCGGTGTGTGTCCGTTTTGACTTCCACACCACTTTCTGATTGAGCTAACCTTCATTGTGTGTCTACTACATACCAGCCCGGCGTACAAGCTGCTTTCCTCGTCACACCTCACTTAGTTAGAAAAAGTCATGTATGTGTCTATCTACAGGGAGGAAAACATGCCGCAGGGGCAGCAGTGAAACCCTGCAAAGCCGTAACAGTGTTTGGTTATGGGGCGGAGGGCGGTGGTGACCATTCTCGTCCGTCTACCTTTTCCGAATGTCAAAGTCCACGTTATACTTCTGCAATGAGGGGAAACCCCGCCATGTTGAACAATAGTTTGATTAATTTAAATAAAAGCCACTCCAGCAGTTCACTGCTCTTGTCACTACCTATCTAGCCCTCAGGTTACCCTCTTTTATTTTCCCCACAAGATTACCACCCTCCACCCCAGCCGCCTCCAGCAGCTGCTGCTGCGGTTTCCTATACCCAGCATGGTGCTGGATAAAAAGGTGTGACACATGCTCCTGGGTGCAGAGGAAACCACAGCCATGCCCCTGGCACTGTCCCGCAGCTGTGAGATCAAGCGAAAGGTTTCTGCACAGAAACCACTGGAGACCAAGGAAGACCAGCTGTTTACATGCCCAGTTACAGAGTAAACTCTGGTTTATTCTTCTCGTGACTGGCCATGGGTTAATGCCATCCAGTTGCTTAACCCTGGACAGTCTTCTTAGGTGAACCTCCCTGAGATTGTCCCCTGCAACTGCTGTTCTGTGCAATACAATTACAGTCTTTGCCACTCCAGGGCTCTCTGGGGTGTACTGGGCTAACCCTTTATCTATTTGAATGTTTTCCAACATCCCAAACAGTCTGACTTATAACCTGGATTATATAATTTGTTTGAAGATTTGCTTCTTCCTGTTTCTCTGTTTCCCACAAAGTTGCCCCAGGTAAATATTACCCAACAGGTGCTGGGATTCTAGGTCCAGAGCTGGTGGAGAACGCTGACATTAGCCTGGCTTGGGGCTTTGACTGTGAAAGCAGTGATTTCCTAGGTGGATCCTGGGTTTCCAGAGAAAGCAGGTTGGTAAGTTTAGGGCTGTTGCACAGACATAGAAAGTATGTGTAGGCACTTGATCGTAGTCCCTGCTCTGGCCTAGTCTTCCTACTTGACCTTGGGCAACAACTTGGCACTTGAAGCCTGTGTACCTCCCCTCCCTCAAAGCTGCTGGGAGCAAGAAGACCCCACCTCCACGCCCAGGGGCATATGACAATGGGCACCTAGCCAGGGCTCACCAGCTTTGTACCAGTTGCACTGAGGGTGTGCCCAGCACCCGATCTGGAAGCAGGTTGATCTCTTTCATGATGTTAGCCAGGCGCACTGGCAGCTCCTGTCTGAGGAAGGTGAACGAGGTCTTCTCACAGGCATTGCTGGACCCTGGGGGTAGAGAAAACCCTGAGCCTGCAGAACTGGCACCCACTGAGCCAGAGGTCAGCTCCGGAATCTGATTAACCATGTCCCTCATTTCCTGAGGGTTCAGAGAAGACAAGACCTGGGTCAAAGAGCAAGACAACTCTCCTAATCCCCAATGGTGCTGCCACCTTCACAGCCTGCCTGATTCTTACGAGGCTGCATGCTCTCCCCAGCCCCAGCTGAAGTCTGCCTGCCTTCAACCTCGGGGACAGGGTCACTCCCAAGCCCACTTGGAGCTGTCTCTGGCCTAAGTTACCTCATTTATTCTATCTTTTCTTCTTACCACTCACTTTGGGGGGTGGTTTGGGGAGGTAGAGGGAAATCTACCCCTACCCAGGTGGGCCCTGGCTGAGGGGAGCTATGCCTGGACCACTGCAGCTGTCTGGACCCAGGACCCAGCCCACTGGCACCTTGCTGGTCTTGATGCCCATGGCAGTGCTGCCCTGCCCTAATGCCTACCTATGACCAGAGCCCAGAAATATGAGCCCTCTATTCCTTGGTCCTTGGTCTGGCTTCAAGATGAAGAGGAGGTCGAAGAAGAATGAGGCCATGGCCTAGAATCAGAAGACCTGGGTTCTAGTCCAGGTTCTGCTCCAACTATCATATTCCGTATTGTCACCATCCTTCTGAAGGCCTCAATTTCCCCACTATACTATAAGTGGACCAAGTCCTACAGTGAGTCCCTCCTGGCTGTGACATTTCTGTAACTGGGATCCTGCCTGGACTGGACAGCTGTTAGGAGTGGGCCCAGGAGGCTTTCCTGTAAGGAGGTGGCTCAAACAGGGCAGGGGGCCAGGCCAATGAGTCCTGGGGAATAGGTGCCCTGGTCATGCCTGCTGCCTCTCTGCCCCCTCCCACTGGTGACGCAGTTGTAATGTGAGCCAGGCACCAGCTCCTCAACTCTTGAGAGGCCTGGACACCCCCAGTCGGCACCATGGAAATACCGTGTGGACACAGAGAGCCCACACAATGCCTGTTTCCGTCACCGTGCTGGTACAGCCTTGCTCCTGCTCCAGAAGCCACCCCCAGAATGCCAGCAGTGGAGATCCTGACCCAGGAACGCAGGGGCTGCCAGGGGTGGGTACAAAGCTCCTGACTCCACCTCATGGTGTCCTGGGCCACTGTCCAGCTGTGGAGAGGCGGCCAGGCAAAAACAGACTTGATCTTCAAGTGTCCTTGCCCGCTGGAACGGCTGATGGCCAGCTCCTGTACTGGCCGGGGGCCCCTCTCCTGTTGGCATCTTCTCAGAGGGCCCTTCCCCAAACTGACACCTCCGTGTCCAGCCCAGTTCAAGCGTCCTTTCGGATGGCGGTGCCTCCCTACCTTGCCTGTTACTCCCAATAGCAACCACCCTCCCCCAACATTTCTTCTCTGTCCCCCTCTGAGAAGCTCCAGGACAACCACCCTTAAGCCTGTAGAGCCTGGTCCACACTACTCCCTTGGCGCCCTACTGCACCGCACTGCCCCCTCCTCTCCAAGAGCCCCTCACAAAGCCCAGGCAGGCCCCTCGGACCCCTGCATCTCAGTGCCCCCCCAACCCCTTCCCATTAATAGTCCGGTCAGAACGTCTCCAACCTGGGAACGCTTAATCTTTCCAGGCCCGCCAGTCCCGTTCTCCCCGTTAACCCTTTCCTGCCCGCACCCCTCCAGGCACCCTTCCCTGTCACTCAGGGCCTCGCCTTCCCTCCGCCCGAATCCGCCCCGGCCAGGCCCCTTCCTCCGCCCCGCCCGGCTCCCCGCGGCCCCGGCTGCCAGCCAGCGCCCTCCACCCCTCACCGAAGTCCAGAAACTGCTTCATGGACAGCGGGGACGGGGAGAACTTGCTGAAGTGCTCGATGTACTTGGGCGCCCCTGCCAGGGACGCGTTCTTCAGCAGCGCGCGGAGCCAGCGCATGGCGGCCGCGGGCGGGCTGGGCTCGGCTCGGCTCGGCTCGGCTCCGGGGCGCTCGCACTCGGCAGGGCCCAGCCGGCCCAGCGACGCGGTTCGGCCGCCTCCTCCCGGCCCCGGCCCCGGCGGCCCTCCGGGCCCCGGCCAATCGGCTCGTCGGGGCGCCCCGACGCCGCCAATGGCCGCGCACAAACAACTCCCGGGGAGCCAATAGGCGCCCGCCCCGGCACGTGGCTTCTCCCCGGGGCCCGCCCCCTTAACCCGGTGGGTGCGCCCCGCGGCCTGCCGGGTTCCGGAGTCCGCGCCGCGCGCCCGCCTCCCTCCCGGCCCTCTGTTCCGCCCCTTCCTCCGCAGCCAGCCCGGGTTAACCCCTCCGGCCCCGGATGCCGGCTGTTGCTCCGAGATCCTTCCTTTCCCTTCCCCTCCCCGAGCCGCCTTGGCGCGTCTCCCGTGAAACTGTAGGATAAATTCCAGCGAATCGTTTTCCTCCCGAAGCTGCCCGCGTGGCCTGTCCCGGTCTCCCCGGGGCGCCAGTGGGTTCCCAGTCTAGGTGATGGTGGCTGAGATGAGAGTATTTGCGAACTTGGGGTACAGGCCCATCCTATTTCCTCCTGTGGTCTTGCAACCCACTCACCCCCAAAGCTCCAAATGGCTCAGAAAAGGCATTTGCTTTTCTGGTTAGAAACTACTCGGTCAAAACCCTCAATAACTGGGGCTGGTGGGGGTCATCCCCATTACCAGCCCTACTAGGACGACATTCAAAGCATCTCCTCTTACCGTTCTCTAGTTCTTTTGAGCTGAGAAAGCAACCTTCCTTACGCTGGGCCATCTTAGAGAAAGGTCCTGGAAGGTGATTTATGCTGGGGGCAGGGTCAGAGCTTGGGGGTGTTGTGGTGGGGCAAGAGCCCCCTCTTCCCCAGCAGCCCCTGCCTTCTCCTAGGCAGGTGCGCAGGTGCTCCTGTGATTGAACTCCATGTGGCCAGTTTTGCGACTGGCATGTTGGAGGCTTTGGTTCTCTTTCAGTCCTGGATTGTCACCCACCAGGTACGGAATATGCCCCAGGCTTTGTGCTGGGAACTGGAAACCCAGACAGCATGAAGACATGGTCTTTTCCATTGGTCACTTCTCAGTTTGGGAGAGAAATGCATAAGCAAATAGTTATTTACGGCAGCCTGTGATTATGGCCAACACAGAGTCACGTGCAAGGCTTGACAATGGAAGGGACTCATAGCTGAGTGAATATATAACCTGTGCGCCAAGCGCTATTTGCATGGATTATCTCATTTAATTCTCAAATGTGCTATTAAACCCATTTTACGGATGGGGAAGCTGAGGCTCTCAGGTCAGTCTCAGAAACATATTTGTTTACTTTCCCTGCTCTGCCTTTCATTTCCTCTCCACTTCTGGAGCCTTTCCAGTTCTTGCACGATCCGCTTTGGCTTAACCCTCCAGCCATCTCTCTCCACTGCTCAATACCCAGCCATACTTTTCTATTGCCTTGAACCAGCCTCCAGGCTTTTGCAAATGCCATCTCTTCTGTCTGGATCATTCTCACCTTCATCTACCCATTCTTCAGGTCTCAGCCAGCTCATTTTTTAACCCTGCTAGTTTGGGTAATGGGCTCCCTCCCAGCGCTTTTTAGACCCCTTGCTCTTAGACCCACCTTAGCTCTTATCACACTGAGCGGTAACTGTCCACTGACTCTTCCATCTCCCCGACTAGACTTTAAACTCCACAATTTTATTCACTGCTCTGAATTTGAGCCCTGGTAGTGTGTCTCTGGTACACAGCTTTGTGCTAATTCTGCTGGGCCCCAATCACAGAATCAGGATTAGCAGTCACCCCATTCCCATCCATGTTGGCTGTCCTACTCTTTGCTGGGAGGATGGTCACACTCCTCAGCCCAGCCCCCTCTCCCCTTGTTTGCTTACTCTCCTTCTACCTCCCCTCCCTCTTTCCTTCCACTCCTGCCTTCCCCAGGGTCTCAGGTCTGGGAGGAAGCAGCCAAACCCACATACACATTGAACACATGGTGTCTAAGGCCAGCCAGCTTGTCACCTTGTCTGCCCTTCTCTGGCCCTTGTCTGCCTGTCAGCAATGGGACTATGTTCCATGGTCAGAAATGGGGGGCTGCTCCATCATGGGTCCTAGGGTCTCCAGTACCGGCTCAGTGCCTGGTACACAGAAGAGAGAAGATAGTAAGCAGAGAAGGTGGGATGGACAAGGAGACATGCCACAGAGACAGCAGGAAGATCACCAAACAGCCACGGGCCTAGCAGCTAGGAGGTCACTGATGATGTTAGTGAGTATGTTATAGGGCAGCCCTGATATTGAACGGGTTCTGTTAGGGGGAAAGGATGTCCTGAGTTAATCCCATGCAGGCTTTGTGGACCCCACCCCCACTCCAGACTAAAGCCATCAAGACATTGGGAAAGACAAATCCCGTCACCACCAAGGGAGGGTGGCTGGGACCTGAGGGTGGAGTTGGGCAGCCAGGTTGGATATAAAAACCAAACACGTGGGCCTTGGGGGGCTCACTATCGCTCGCCTCCTGGCTTCACCGCTCCTGGCTTGCGGCCAGCTCTCAGAGCGCCATTTTGGGATTCCTGATCGGCGGATCGGGTAGGACTCATTGAAAACTTTGTCTCCCACTTTTCTCCCTGAGCTGTACATGTCCTCATTTCCCCTTCCCTTGTAAATAAACCTTTCATGAACCTTTCGCGTGTGCCTGCAGTAGAGCATTGATAAGTCCTTTTAAGCACGCAGGTGAGGACCCACAGTCAGGCACCCCGTTTTGTATCGGGGTTGCTCTACAACAGTTTCTGGCTGTGGGTCCTCACCCACGCGCTTACAAGGGACTTATTAATACTCCACTACAGGGCCTCCCCGGTGGCGCAGCGATTGAGCGCTGGGTTGCGAAGCTGCCCGCGGCCTCTGCAGCACCAGTTCGATCCCCGGCTGCTCCCCGGCCACCGGAGGAGGGTCCCACATGGCACGCAGACCTCTCCTGCCGCCCGCTGCTCCCCTCAGCAGTGTACTTCGGTCCTTCTGCCTGCTCTGCTCCCCGCTCTGGCTCTGGTGAATTCTCTCACCCTCCCGCGCTTCTGACTGTACCCAGTGCTTGTATAAACAAACAAAACAAACAAACAAACAAATAAATAAAAACATGCCTCTATTAAAAAAAAAAAAAACACATTAAAAAAAAAAAGAAAAAAATACTCCACTACAGGCACACACAAAAGGTTAATAAAAGGTTTATTTACAAGGGAAAGGAAATAAGGAAAATGTACAACTCAGGGAGAAAATAGGGAAATAAAGTCTTTAATGCGTCCTACCCGATCCGCTGACCTGGAAACCCAAAAAGCACTCTCAGAGCTGGCCGGACGCTGCGAGCTGGCGGAGAGTCAAAATGGGGGACCCCTCCAAAGCCCACGTGTCTGGCTTTACACCAACCTGGCTGCTTAACCCCACCCTCAGGTCCCAGCCACCTTCCCTTTGGTGGGGATGGGATTTGGAGTTCCCAGTGTCTTTGGCTTTGGCCTGGGGTGGGGGTGGAGTCCACAAAGCCTGTATGGAATTAGCTTTAGGACATCCTTTTCCCCCTAACAAGTACAGTATTCAAACTCCCTGGTAAAGTGTGTAGGATTCTAGACGTAAAAACACCTAGACCTATGCCTGGCCCACAGTACTTATTAAATGGCAGCTCTTATGATTCTCAAAATTAAGGTAACAAGGAAAAGGCTGTGCATAGGTGTGGGAGAAGGAAAGGGATTTCCCATGATCCTCCCCTTAAAGCTGGACCTCTGTGACTTGGGCTCTGTACTTGAAAGGAAATCCCTTCTGCAGAGATTGCTGTGTATGTGTGTCTGGGTGAGGGGCAGGGATGGTTAGGAGATGTTGAGGTGATAAACAGGTTAGGACATGACAACCCCAACCCCCAGCTCCCCACTATATGTACAGTGTGAGTTGGTGGGGGCCACTCAGGCACCCAGACAGACAGAAGCTTTGTGTCAGCATAGGACTTCCACAGCAGCACAGGCAGGAAAGAACTGGGAGGGTCTCCTCCAGCACTGAATTGTTTCAGCCCAGACACAATCCACTTCCCTCCTGCTCACACCCTGTAGGCCAGAATTAGTCACATGGCCTTATCTAACCATCGGACCCCGGAAGTACAATCTGGCCATGTGCCCAGAAGGGGGAGAATCACCTTGATGGGTCCTTCTAGCAATATAAGAGCCAAGACCTTCCCCTGGAACAGTTTGGAGGTGCTGCAGCTCTAAGGAGCTGACGAGGTGGGGTTGTAGGGGGCTCCTTTTATATAAAAAATGGCTATTGCTGCTTCTGTCTTATGTTTCTTTCATAAAAGTGTCATAGCATCAGTCCTGAAAATAACTTATTCTCAGGAATGTGTGTGTGGGCATGTGAAGCTCACAGCCTCTCTCTCTCTCTCTCTCTCTCTCTCTCTCTCTCTCTCACACACACACACACACACACACACACACTCACACACACAGACATGTGTGCATGAGGCTGGGGGCCTAGGGACTGAAGCTGTGAAGATGGGGTTGGGGGTACATATATAGATGCCACCCTTTTCTGAAGCAAGAAGTGGCTGCCAATGACAGAGCTTCACTCTCCATGAACTGGACTTTGACACCCCACACAGGGTGTAATTCTTGGCTGTGTCTGGAAAGCAAACTCAAGTCTCTGATTACTGGTTCTGGGAGCTCTGGGTGGGGGCTGGATTTTCTTAGAGGAATTGGACGTTCCCTGCCAACTAACCTGGAAAGGGGCAAATCCCAGCCCAGGAGGGCAAAATGGAGGGGAAAGGGGTGGGCTCTGGGGGAGGGAATAGAGGGCAGACAACCCCACAGTGAGGTAGGAGGTAGGTGAGGTAGGCTGCAACGGCCAGACAGACATCAGGAGGTGGAGAATCATCCGGGCCTGTGGTCTCTCAAAGTAGTTGAATTGAGACTCTGCCCCTGGGCACCTCTGAACAGTAACTTTCAGCCTTCAGTGAAGTCTCGCCAAAGGTCACAGCCTCATGGACAACTAGCAGAAGAAACTATGCCGCAATTTAGCTAAAGAAGCCCGGGCACAGCCCTCTTGCTGCACTCCTGGGCTTGTGGAGGAGGAGGAAGCCAATGGCTGACCTGGTGCTATGTTCTCCGTGCTGGGCACCTCCCACCAGGAGCAGCTGCCCACAAGACAGCATTCAGGGGACTCCTGCCCCAAAGCTGGGGATGAATATTATGACCCAGTCTAGGTCACGATTATCTTCTGTTCTACTCCTCACGGTGCCTGGGGGTATGAGAAAGAGGGAAGAATGTTTGGGGGGGGTGGAGAAATGGGCTGGAAAGCAGGCTCTTTTCTGAGCTCAGCCACTTCAGGGAGCTCTCCATTCTCCACCCTTTCACCAGCCTCCTTCACCATTATCCAGGGCTACCTGTTTCTACAGCAAGGGAACTTCCTGCTTTTCTAGACCCTGCACATTCGACCCCCATACCCTTCCTCCTGCCCCAGGGCCACACTGCCCTCCAAGAAGCCATTTTGGATTCTACCCAGTGTCCCCTCATCGTATGTTCTGCATCGGTTATATGTGCATCACCATCCCTCAGACTAGGGCATCCCCAAGTTCAGGAACTGGTGTCTCCCTATAGATCTTTACCCTCCAACCTCCTTTGTCATCTGGGAGTCAGTTGGAGGCATTATCCACCAGGCTGACCTGGGGGTGGCAAGAAGCGGGGGTACATGGAGGCAGATGCAGCATGTACAAACTGGGAGCTTTTTATTGGTTGCTGTGAGAAGCCTATATACAAAGAAGGCACAAGGAGGGGGAGGCAGCTCCCCTGCTACAGTACCGTGGAAAGGGGTAAGGGTTGGGAAGGGGCCTACCAACAGGTAGGGGTCAGGAAAGGTTTTCTGGAACCAGCATCAACTTCTAGAATGAACTTCACGACTCAGAAGGCAGAGCCAATTGACTCTGAAAGCAAACAACAGCTAAGAACTCCACTTCTAGGCCCCCGAACCATGATCAGTGAGGGTAGAGTGGGGTCTGGCCAGATGGGGCAGGGGCAGGGCACCCTCCTGGTTCTACATTCAAGCGTCGCTCCCTTGATAATATCGTGGGGGTCTCTCCAGGCCTCTGGAGCCCAGATGGTAGTGGTGGGTGAGAAGTGGTATCTCCTGTGTCTCATATTGGCATCTCCTTAGCCTTGGATAGGTCCTCTCCTCTGCTGAGGATCCAGCTGTGCTGCCACGGCAGGCCCTACACAGCATGTCCAGGCTGCCTCGTGGCTTGTCCCTCTGCTCCTCAGGCTGCATTCCTTGCCAGTGCAGACTGTGGCTAGCAAAGGGCCTTCAAAGTGATCCATGAAAGAAAGTCATCCCGGAGACCTTCTTTCTAGTTCATTCTGCTCTTGGGTCTGAGCACACAGGGTTGTAAAAACAACCTCCATGTTAGACAACCTTAGGCAGGTCCCCTGCTCTCTGGCAGGATTCCAGTCCCTCCAGCTGGGGCCCGGTGGGCTGCTCCCTGTCAGTAGCTTTAATCTCGAGGGCGGAGTCAATCCAGTGACTATGGCTCAAGACAGATCCAGTGTGTCACCACGGTTGGGGCCTTTCCTCCTGGCTCTGGCGGAGGCCCTTTGGTTGGGTCCAGGCACAGACAGAGGTGCATGCACCATCAGCAGTGCACAGACACGGTCCATGAGCAGTGGGCCCACACATCCAGGGCACCAGGCTGCAGTGTGCTCGGCTTAGCAATACCCACGGTCCAGGTCTCCCGGAGAAGCCGCGGCCTGACGGCACATGCAGGCGCTCAGAGGTGTGTGCGCCCGTGCCTGTTGATGCCAGCCTAAAGGCAGCAGCCCCGGTGGACTGTTGGGCATAACTTATGATAAATAGAAGAAAGGGGCACTAGGGGAGTAGGGATGGGGCCGGGGTGGGGTGTCAGTAGTATCGATCCCGAGTCTGCCAGCTAGTCACCCAGTGCTTCTTGGTGGGCATCGTGCTCCCTGGAGGTGGGTAGCGTTCCTCCTCCCGGATCCGCACTGCATGGTACTTGGGCATGATCCGGTAATAGTGAGTCCGTTTAAAGAAGTCACACTGGAGTTGGGGGGAGAAGAAGAAAGGCATCAGCATCCAGCTTCCAGCCAGTGTGTTGATCTGCCCAGGCCCTCCCCCACCCAGGGGTCCTCAAAATCAGGACCTCCGACCTAATACACACCATCTCCCTGTGCTAAGCTGAGAGGGGAGGCTCCCCACCACAGGCCACAGAGGAAGGAGGAGCTGAGGAAGGCAGAGGAGAGGGAGAGGCAGATGGAGACAGAAGGGCAGCGCTCAGATTACTGGCTGAGTGGCCAGGAGGGTGATGGCCTGCACTGACCACAATGTTGAGAGGGCTGTCTGACACCCCAGGGGGGCTCCCAGGAGGAAAAGTGCCGGTTCTCAGGAGGAAGGACTCTGCTAAGCCTCCCCTTCCCTGGAGGTAGGAATGGGGCTGTGGAATTGTTCTGGAATTAGCCTTGTGGTCTACAGAGATGTGGCCTAGCCTCGGCCTTCACCCTTTCCCAATCAACAGAAGGCAAAAGGGTTCCCAAGTCCTTGAGAGGCTCGGTGGGGAAGCTTGTGAGAGCAGACACCCTGAGCTCCCCAGGGTGTGGACGGGGGAGACAGAGTGTCCGGTGCTTTGGGGTGGGGCTGGGGACAGAGTGAAGTGCAGAGAGGGCCCATAGAGGAAGAGGAGCAGACAGGACAGTCAGAGGCCCCAGCCACCTAGAGGGCTCAGGGAAGAGGGCTCGGAGGAGGCCATGTTACCCGGGTGGGCCGGGGGCGGGGGTTGCCCCCCTCAGTAGTCATCAGTCAGCCTCTCTGTCTCTGACGGCTGGCTCTTCATCTCCGCCTTCTGCCTCTTGGCTTCATACAGGGCGCGAGTGCGGGCTCGCTTGAAGAAGCCGCACTGCGGAGGGGAGGAGGTGGGGACGGGCCATCAGGGTGCGTTGGAGGTGCTTGCCAGCAGCACTCATAGACTGGGGTTTAGGGCTGGGGAGCCTGGATGTCTGGTTCCCGGGCCCAGCTTGGTGGTGTGGCCAGAAGTCAGAGCTCCTGGTGTCCCTTTTCTGGCTCAGTGTCCCCCTTAACCCAAGTGGGAGCACCACTGTAGGTAAGGTGATGATGGGACAGGGGGAGTCTGAAAGCTGGGGAAAAGGTGGGTAGGGCATGGGGGAGGGTGGGGTGCAATGGAAGTCAGGAATGGGATGAGGGAGAATTGGTGAGGATCTGCTGGCAGGAGGTCCCAGAGTGGGAGTGCTGGGTGGGGGTCCTAACCTTCCACAGCAAGATGATGATTAGCCCCAACAAGAGCAGCCCGGCACTCACGGCCACAAGCACCAGCCACAGCTCCATCTCCGCTGGCAGTTCCTCCACCAGCTCAGAGTCAATGTCCACGGAGAACTGGAGGGAGAAAGTAGGAGCTGGTCACTTTTCCTGCTCCAGAGGGGCCCAAGAGCCTGCTGCTTGACCTGCTGCCAGCAGGGGGCACTCAGGGACTAGGGAAAGCTCCTGCCTGCCCACTGCAGACGCCAGCAGATTCCCCTACCCTCTGATTTCTCTTAGTTGTAGACCTAGCTCCCAAGGAGCAGACTCTCTCCTTTGTGGGAGGTAGCTAGAGTCTGGCCTTCTGACCCACACATCCGGGCTTGGGTACTAGCTCCATCCCTGATAACCCTGTGATCATGGAGAGGTGATTCCACCTCTCTGAATCTCCATTTCGTGCTCTCTAATGCCTATCTCAGTACAGCAGAAAGGTCAAAAGCATGTGTTCTAAAGCCAGACTACCTGGTTCCAGCTCCAGTTGTACTATTCACTAGCTGTGTGACCTTAGGAAAGATACTGAACCTCTCTGTTGTTTTTCTGTAAAATGGGGATTATGATAATACCTACCTCATAGGTTGCTGGGAAGGATTAAATGTGTTTAATATGAGTAAACCGCTCTGAGCAAAACCTAGTACACAGCAAGCACTTCATAAATATTTACCAAAAAGCAAAGAATGGAGAGTATAGAATATCATTCTTTTTCTTCCACTACATTGGTGATATCTATTTATTTATATATTGACATCTACATAAACATATCTTAATATATATCATAGTTTATAACATTTTATAACATAAATTATATTAATTATGATACATACTTAAATATGTAGACTTTTTTTTCTCACTATACCTGGTAATTTCTTTAAAAATTGCTGAGATTATTGGGGCCTCCCTGGTGGTACAGGGGTTAAAGTCTCAGTACTCTCAAGCTATCTCACCAGCCACTGCAGCATGAGTTCATTCCCCAGCCAGGGACCTTCCCACATGGCACAGCAGACCTCTCCTGTCTCACTCACTGCTCCCCTCAGCAGTGTATTTCACTAGATTCTCCGGTTCTGCTCCCTATTCTGTCTCTGGTGAAACACTAAACCTCCTTCCCCCGGCACCTCTGGCCTATACTCCAGTTCTTGCATGCATAAATAAATAAAAATAAAACTTTATAATATTACTTAGATTACTATTTAAAAAAATACAAATGTTGTAAAGAAAATGAAAGACTCCCAATAATTTTACTCTCTAGAAATACATATCTTCAGTATTTTGGTGAATCTCTTTCCATATTTTTTAATGTGTATGTTACAAATAAACACTTTTCTCTTCCACATAAGTGGGATCTATATGTACTAACACATTCTTCTGAGACCTGTTTCCTTTTTCACTTAACATCATCATCTTTCAATGTCAATTAATAAAGATCAACCTAATCTCTTCTGATGACTGCATAGTTATGGCAGGAAATGGACCATAATTTATTGAGCCAACCTCCTACTGAAGGACATTTAGCATGTTTCCAATTTTATACCATTATAAACAATGCTTTAAAATATCCCCATATATTTATCTTCACATACTTGTCCTATTAGCTCCTAAAGAAATATTATCGGGTACTAGATCTAAGGAAATGTACATTTTAAATTTTAATAAGCATTGATAAATTCATTTCCAAAAATAATCCAATTTATACTCTAAGCGATAGCATTTCCTTCTACCTCATTAGCATCAGAAATCACTATTTCTTTCCAATTTGATAGGAAAAAATCTTGTTGCTATTATTTTTATTTCTTTACTATTGAGTTGAGCACTTATGGTTCACCCTCTATGTCTAACTTTTGCTTCCTTTTTGTTTACATTTTCAAAAAATATTTATCAAAACTTTGTGATATGTGCTGTAAACTTTAAAAAAAGCATCTCCTTTGTCCTTGTAGTTTCTTTCTCATCTTTTTTACTACATACAGATTTAAAATTTCTTATTGGCTAATTGGTTGAGTTTTTCCTTTGTGACTTCTGGGTTTAATAAAATACTTCCCCACAACTAAAGATTACTATGAAATTACTTTCTGAATTTTCTCCTGGCACATTAGGCTTTATTTCCTATAGTTAACATTTAATCTAACTCAAATATATTTTTATTTATGGTATGAGATAGGGATTTGTCTTTAATTCCCAAATGTGTTCTCCCAACATTGCTCAACCAACTACCTTTCTCTTATTAAAAAGCCCATCTGTATCATAAACTAAATTTCTATTCCGTTCCACTGATCTTTCTAGTCCTTCCTCCAACTACGTTATTTTAGGGAATATACCGTAATGTATTTAATGAACCCTCCATTCATCAATACTAGATATCTCCTCCATATCTCCACTGACATCTTTTTTATAACAAGATGTCAACTCTTTTGTCATGTTCTTCTAGATGTAAATCAGAATCAAGTTTGAGAAACTTTTCTCAAGTTTCCATGGAGATGGAATATCTTTACAACATACTGGGCTGATCAAGAAGATTCTCATCCCAGTTGCACATTTAGATGGAGGGGGGCTCTCAAAGCACACCAGCTCCGATATCTGATACCATTCCTCCACAGACACAGGTCTCATTATTCAAGAGTGCAGTCCAGACAACAGAAGTCCCACAAGGGATTCCAAGGTGCTGCCGGCATTGAGAACCATTAGCTAAAGTGTGTGGAAGCACTGGGGAAAGATACCTTTACTCCCACACCCTGGCCAGGGACTGCTGTTCGTGAACATGTTCACTCACCCACATAGACTTGTTCTTCATGTTGATGGTGGGGATGTTGGTTCGGAGGAACAGGGTAGCGTTGCCAGCTACAGAAACTCTGTCAAAGTCTCTATAATCCTGAAGGGAAGAATGAGTGGATCCAAAGAAATAACTGAAGCCCCTCTGAGTTTCCGTCCTGATTCTAAGCATACCCCCAGGACACCTCCCGCCACACAACATCCTTAAGCAGCACATCAAAGGATCTGACCACCAGGCCTCTCCCCCCAACCCCCACAAGTGCACATCATTCATTCATTTGTTCATTCCTTTGTACATCAGGTGCTGTGTGAGCTGCTAGAGAAAATGAAGGTCACAGTCTAGGTCAGGTCTGAGGGCTAAAGTTGGCCTGTCACCTGCTTTTTTTTTTTTAAAGATTTTATTTATACAAGAACTGGAGTACAGGCCAGATGTGTGGGAGGGTGAGAGGATTCACCAGAGACAGAGCGGGAAACAGAACAGGCAGAATACTGAAATACACTATTGAGGGGAGCAGAGGGCGAGACAGGAGAGGTCTGCCACGCCATGTGGGTTGTTCCGCGGCTGGCAGGGATCGAGCCGGCACGGCAGAGGCTGTGGACAGCTTCACAGTGCTGCGCTCAACCACCTGCACCACCAGGGAGGCCCATGTTACCTGCTTTGGTAAAACTATTTTGGGCACACAACCAGGCCTACTCGTTTACATATCATCAGTGGCAGTTTTGTGCTATGCCAGCAGAACTGAGTAGTTGCAACAGAAACCATATGGCCTACAAAGCCAAAAATACTTTTAATCCTATAATCCTAGTCATTTAGAGAAGAAGTCTGGTCTGTGTAGCACGTGAAGCATGTGTAACTACGACCTAGCACAGCATGTGGTAAGTGCATGTGTGGCTTCTGAGAAAGTTCTGTGGGTGTCCCTGGAGGAGAGGTCATTTTCAGCTGGAAAAGTCCAAAAAGACCTCACCGAGAAAGACCTTAAAGTCTGACTAGGACTTTGTAAGCAGAGGCTACACATGGGAACTGGCAGTCCCTGGGGAAGGTATGGCATTGGCAAGGGCGTGGAGGGGGCAAAGTAACAGACACGAGACAGAACAGCATGCATGAGAGAAGGTCCATCTGGCTGGAAACAAACATGTCATGTGTGTGTCCATACATGGACACACAAACGGACACTGACATGGCCCTCTCACACGAGTGTGACAGTGCATAGCCTGTCATGTGTAAAACCTGACACCGTCACTGACACACATGCAGGAGGCTTTGCAGTGACCCTAGCCTCACCCTCTCTTTGTTGCTCTGCCAGCCCAGCAGAGACCCTGGGACCCAGGCACTGACCTCAATGAAGGTGCTGTTCCACACCCGGGCCCGCACTGTCACACTGGTGATGACGGTGGCATCGGGAATGGGGCACTCCAGCCACACGCAGCGCGTCTTGTTATTCTCACAGGACTGAGGTGGACAGGGAATGCAGGACATGAGATAGTCCGGTCTCCACAGATGCTTCATGCTTCTCCCCTGCTTTGTCCCACCCCCGGCGAGGCCCAGCCTCCTCACTTCACTCTTGCACACCGCACCCCCCGACATTTACATGTTTAAGACACATTCTTTGGGCCAAGCACATAGAGATGATAGAAGGCAGGGACACAGGAAACATGAAATATGATCCCCGCTCATGTAATTGGGACCCAGTCCCTGACACCTCTGCCCCAACCCCTCGCACCTCTCTCCATTTGACACACCACCTCCTGCCACTCCATCCAGTGCAGCCTCAACTTGCTTCCCAGGCTTGTTACCCTTTCCCTTCCTACAGAAGCACCCCACACTCTTATCTCCCCGCCTCTCCCCACTCCCCAGACTCAATGTCAAGGCTTTGAGTTCATCATTTCCAAAAGATTGGGGACCCTGGGAGCAGAGTCAGTGTGTTTTCCTTTGCTGCATTATATGGCTGCTCCCCAAGGCCCAGGGCAGTGGGATGTCCTCTGAGGGAAAGAGATGAGTTACTCCCTCTGGGGAGTCCTGAGTCCAGGAGCCATATCACCTCACCAGATGTGGGTCTCCTAGGGAGAAGCACCCATCTCCCTTGCTTCATGCACCCCTGCTGCCCACCCACCCTGTGATGGGTGGGCACAGTACTCTCTGATCTTGCCCTGGCCACTCACCAGTGTGGTTTGAGACTTGGCTTTTTTGGCAACAGCCAGAGTGACAGGTGGGGTGCCCTGATCTCCCCCTGAGTCCAGATGTCGCCGCCTGCGCTTTAAAGATGGAGGCTTATCTCCAGGGACCTGAAGAGGCAAGAGGAGATTTGCTGGGAAGAAGGGGGAGCAAAGATGGGGAGATGAAGAAAGGGCAGGGGTAGAGGCAGGCTCCCAAATGGGCATGAGGGAAAGGAGGGGAAGACACTGGCCCTTCTGCCCCACAACATGTGAATCAAAGTTCCCGAGAGTGTCCTTACAGAGAGAGTGAGGTTGAGAGGGTTGATAAGGTCTCCAGGTGGCTGGCAGGCCCAGGACCCATTGCCACGGATGGTGATCTCCGTAGGATACAGCAGCCACTTGCCATTGATGACTTCATAGGGCCACTTAAACCCTAGCACCAGGGTCCCCAGAGCCGCCAGTCCTTCGCCCATTGGGTCCACCTGTGGGCACAAGGGGTGCTATGGTCACTGTCTCCTGGAAAACCACCTCCATCTTACCAACCCCTAATCCTCACATCCTCAGACCCCAGACCCAGAAAGAAACCCCCTCACCCATGCCAGGAGTCCCCAGTCCAGGGTCCCACCAGTTCTCTTACCTGGAACTCAAACTTGAGAGGGCTCCCCACATCCTCCACAGTTTTCATGCCAGACTCACCCATCACTGTGCCCCCAAAGAAGCTTTGTAGCCGCTGAGTCACCCTAGGGGTAAGAAAGATGCTGGAGTCACTAGGGATGGGAGGGCCCTGGCAGAGGGCTGGGTACCATGCGTTGATTAACTACAGTCCTCTATACCCAGCAGACTGGAGAGAAATCCCAGTTCTGCCATTTAATAGACGTGTGGGCAACCAAGTTTTTAGGCCACTCTGAGACTTAATTTCCTCATCTGTAAAGCAGAGTTAATAATAGTTACTATATTTTGGAGCTGCTATGAAAAGCAACATAATAAGACAATGTACACAAAATCCGTAGCACGCTGAGCTGTGAAGAAATGGTAATGTTGGGCCTCCCCAGTGGCGCAGCGGTTGAGCGCTGGGTTGCGAAGCTGCCCGCAGCCTCTGCAGCACCGGTTCGATCCCCGGCTGCTCCCCGGCCACCGGAGGAGGGTCCCACATGGCGCGCAGACCTCTCCTGCCGCCCGCTGCTCCCCTCAGCAGTGTACTTCGGTCCTTCTGCCTGCTCTGCTCCCCGCTCTGGCTCTGGTGAATTCTCTCACCCTCCCACACTTCTGACTGTACCCAGTGCTTGTATAAATAAAATAAATAAATAAATAAATCTTTAAGAAAAAAAAAGAAATGGTAATGTCACTCCAACACTTTAGCCCCAGTGTTGGTGATTCTTCCACTACTATCTGCTTTGCAAGGGCAGTAATTATTAATAATAACAATAAGGACAGTGATTGTTGTTGTTTAGGGAAGACCCAAGGGAAGCGGAGGCCTGAAGATACAAGGCCCAGAGAAGTGTGTCAAAGGCTCTTGAAGACACTGTGGGGACAGGAAGGCCCTAGCTCAGGCACAGCAGGCGGAGGGAAGGTTAGGCACTCACATGCTGAGTGTCGCCTGGAGTGTGTAATCCACCAGCAGAGTCAAGTTCAGGGGCTGCAGGTTGTCCTGGTGACTTGACCTGGGGAGGGAATGTAGGGGGCAGGGGAAAAGATGTGTCCGCTGAGCCTGGGGCTGCAAGAGACCCCAGCACACCTCGGTTTTGACAGACCAGTCTAATGAGGTCACTCACGTGGAGAGCTGCAGCTGTGTCTGGAGTTCCCTTGTGTGCAGGGTCACCCCAATGACCTCGAAGGTGATGAGCAGCTCCATCTGCCAGGGGAGTCAGGAAGGGATGTTTGGTGTCCGCAGGAATGAGACCGGGGGCAGAGAGAGACAGGTGCAGACAGGTGGTTCTTTGACCTCCTACTCCTACTCCTCCCATCTGTGTGAAGGGTGTCACCTCCCCACCCATGTCTGCATTTTCATCTTCTGAGCCTCATTTTTATTTCCCTTTTTCTGTCAGTAACAACTGCTACTTTTGAGCTATATGACCTTAAGCAAGTCACCAGAATCTGTAAAAGTAGCATCTAGTCCCTCAAAAGTTATGAGAATTATATCACATAAAAGAAGCAAAGTGTTGCACTTGGGGCATGGCACAAATGCTCAGTAAAACTGGTTTCCTCCCTTTACCTGCTTTAGCTCTGAGCACAGCTCCCGAGGGGCCCTATTTTACTAAGTCTCTGGGTCTCTTTCTACTTCCCAATGTTTCTCCCTGTACCCCACTGTGTCAAGTCAGCATAGCCCCCGATCCCAACCCCAAGCAGTCAGGCAGAAGGAGGATAAAGAGCTCATGGGAGAAGACAGGGACCCAAGTGGGAGGGTGTGGCCGCTTCTCACCCTCTGGTTCCTTTTGAAGGGGTTTCCCAGCTCACAAAGGATGGTCTCGTTTGCCTGGCAGGCTCCAGACTGAGGAAGGAAGATGAATCAATTCTGGGCAGTCAGAATACAGCTTGTCCCACCCCTCCATGTGGCACAAGGTCAGAAGCCCTAGAGGATTAAGAACCGGGTTCCCCTAGCAGCAGAAATACAGTGGCACCTGAGGCGGCCCAGCCGGAGGTGGGGTCGGGGGGCACATATGGAAAATGACAACACAGCTAAGTGACATGCATGTAAGGACGTAAATACGAGGTGCAGCGTGGTTGGGCTCTGAGGCGGGCTGAGGGCACTTACAGGGCGCACTGACGACAGCAGCAGGGCGGGAGGCACCTCCAGGGTGAGCAGAGCCTCGTGGGCGTCTTCCCCTGCCCTCTGCGGGCTGGGGATGTTCGTGACATTGATGCTCAGGAGCAGTTTCTTGACGTCTCTGCCGTACTGGAGCCTGAGATGGGGGGAAGCCCCGCACTGAGCCAAAGCCCCGCCCAGGATCTGCCCCCATCTATTGGGCCCCGCCCTCGGGCCTACTGATGCCTAAGGGAAGCCCCCTGTTGGGACCCTGCCGGGTGGTGTCACCTGGTAAAGAAGTTCCTGTGGGACCAGCAATGCACAGCCTAAGAATCCTACCTGGCCGAGAAAAGCCCCGCCTCTCAGACGCGCTGAGACTCCGCCCCCTGCCAGAAGGTGCGCGGCTCAAACCCCTCGGGCTCTCCAGCTCCCTGACCAGCAGGCGCTGCCCTTCGGTGCCCGCTACTCGCTCGCAGCGAAGCCCCGCCCCAGCCGGTCAGGTTGGCCCAACCGCACCTTCTCAGCAGCTGCCCCTGCTCCGAGGCGAAAGCGGCGCGCATCTCCAGGTTGCTGTCGCACTGGTTGTCCGGCCCGCACTCCTTCTGGAACTGGATCTGGGGTGACGGCAGGCGTGAGGGCCCACCACCCGCAGCGCCCTCTGACTCCACAGCTCTCCCCGCCTCCCCTCCGCTGCCCCTCTGGCCCCGGCCCTACCCACCTCGGTGTGGTTTTCCAGCACCTGTGCCTGGTTGAGGACCGGGTAGGCGTCCAGGGACTTCAGTCCCAGCCGGGGGCGCTCGGGCATCCGCAAAGGTAAAGAGTAGTTCATGAAGATGACGATGGGGCGAAGTTTATCGCGGACGTTGTCCTGAGAAGGGAGCACGCTGAGCCCAGCTCTGCATTGCCCAGTTGAAATCTCACACCACCCGAGGAGGAGCTAAGGCCCCCTCCACCCCGTAACTGCCCCACCTTCCCAAGACGGAACCCTCTCCCTTCTGACCATCAAATTGACCCCCTCCCTACCACCTTCATCCACAAGTGAAGAGATGGGGCTCGTCATCCCCTCTGGATGGGGGTTGAACTTCCATCTCTAGGATCCCCAGGTTGAGCTATGTCTTTCCATCCTGATAGCCCAGAGTTTGCCCTCCACTCACACAGCCTTTTCCCCCACAGGTGTGCTAGCAGTCCCGTACCCTCACTCTTCTCAGGGTGATGAGCCCTGTAGCCCCCGTCCCCACTGCAAGGGTTTCTCTCCTTTACCACGTGCTGGGTACTGTGGACTATACCTCCCACAGACCTATGACCTTTCCCCCCACCTCCCTCACCCATCTCTAGGGTGACCCCGGTCCCTCACCCTTGACCTGGGGGATTCTGGTTACCTCCTCCAGGAGTCACAGAGCCCATGTCCTGCCCTCACCCATTGCTCACCATCAGGAGCAGCTCCAGCCTCTGGCAGCGCGTCTCGGGCATGGAGAAGAAGCCGTGGAAGACAGCTGACTGGCTGCGCGCAAAGCGAAGCCGGGGTGGGCGGCGGTCCCGGTCAGCCTCCAGTGTGTAGGCCAGGGCTGCAGGTGGACAGGTAGGTCAGCAAGCAGCCAGGGAGCATGCACCCCCTTGCCCTGTGTCCCAGCACTCACTGATGTTTCGTCTGTAGTTGGGGTTCCCAGCACTCTGGTTGTAAGCAAAGCATAGCTCCACCTGCACACTATTGGGGGACAGGGGACACACAGGAGGGCCCGGTTACAGTGGGACCCAGATATCCAGGCCTAGTTCCCCTCCCTGGTACTGGGCAAGAAGCCAGGACCCTTCAGGGGGAAGTCAGAAAACAAGCCCGGGGATGTCTACAAAGATGGTCCCTTTCCTTTCCTCTCTTATTAGTCTTTGAAAACAGAGTTAAAGGTCACCAATGGGGAACTGAGGCCCTGAGAAGCAGAAGGAGTTGCCTGAAGTCATCTATTGTTGGCCCAGCTCAGTCTAGATTTCCTTCCATCACTCCCCGCCAACTGCCCCATCCCAGCACCCACTTCCCTGCTCTGACTCCATTTGCCTTCTAATCTCCTTGTTCACACAAAGACCTTGGGGTCATTACCATTATTATCACCATCTTTGTAACTAACGTTTTTTGTGCACTTATGGTGTAACAGGCACTGTGCTAAGGGCTTTTTGTGCATTATCTTATTTAATTATCACAACAACCCTGCAAATTTGTTATTGACTCTTTTCCAGGGGAGGAATCTGAGACTCAGAAAAATTAATAACTTGCCCATGGTAGCTGTCCTGCTTCACATCCGTCCACCTAAGGGTCTCCCTCTCCCCCTCCTCCCCCAGACCTCTCCCCACAGCTGGGCTGCACACTTCAGGGCCACAGCTGAACCAGGCAGTCCACAGCGCCCTCCTAGCCTCCATGCCCTATACTCTCCCAATCCGTCCATTACCTCCTGCAAGGAACTTGCCTTTTAATGAGGTTGGGGAGGAAGGGCGAGGCTTACCCCAAGAATCAACCTTCTAAAGTGGGGGGTGGTTAGCAGGAGTTGCCAGGAGAGGGTTTTGGGGAGCCAGAGTCCCTCCAGAGCTGCCCATACTTAAGGAGGAATGGGGAGGCAGAGCAGCGGCTGGGAGTCTCACCAGGAGGTGGCCGTGCAGAGCGCAGGGTCCAGCACAGATGGCCTGGCCGTCAAGGTCCTGTGCAGGATGTTGATGACAGGCCGAGCCCTGCGTAGAAAACACAGACATCAGCGCCTCCCCTCCTGCCTGCCCCAGGGTGGGCCGGGCCAGGACTCAAGCTTGTGTGGTGCCTAAGGTGGATGGACATAGAACTCCACACAAACCGGGCTGGAGGAGCAGGCCCCGGGTATGCTGCCCACTCACCGCAGCAGCACGATGCGGTCTGACAGGCTTCCCACCAGCAGGTCCGGGTAGAAGTTGTCATCCACATCCATCTTCCCACTCAGGGAGTAGCCAAAGGTGGCCAAGCCAGGCAGCCCCAGCTTCTCTCCATGGATTACCTAGGGGCGGGTGAAAGCAGTGGAGACAGGCTCTGGGGAGTGGGGGCCTGGGGGAGTAGGGAGAGGGTGGGTGAGGGAAAGGAGGGGTGGGCTCCTCAGTCCCTGTCCATCCATACCTGCTGGGCCTCTCTGAGGAGCCCCCTGGAGCTGCTGTGGTAGATGTACACTTTGCCCAAGCCCTCAAACGGGGCTCCCACAGCAATGTCTGGGGAAGAGAGGCAGGAGGGGTCACCTCAGGTGCTGTGGTACCAATACTCCCTCGGCCCATGCACCAGGCCACCGAGCCCAGCACAGCTGTGACCTCACCCTGCCAGGCAGTGCTCAGAGCACCTGGGAACAGTTCTGCAGACCAGGATGAAACTGGGACCCTCAGGCACCCACCTGCCTCCTTTTACATGGAGGTCCAGGAGAGGGAAGTGACTTATCCAGAGTCACACAGCCTGTTAATGTCCCAGGCAGGCCCACACTCGGTGCCTGACCACTGGCTGGTGTTTTCCCCTGGTGCCCCTCTCTCCACCTTCAGAGACACGGCTCCTCCAGAGACATGGCTCTTCCAGAGACCTTTACCAGCAGGGTCACTGATGCAGGTGTCCCCCACTGCTGATTTTCTCAGGTAGTTTTCAAACACTTGCCTCATCTAATGCTCACAAGAGTGCTGGGGGCCGTTACTAATGTCCCTGCTTTATAGACGAGGAAAAAGACTCAGAAAACCCAAAGGCATTGCTGTCTAATGGGGCCTGGGACTTCAATGACATGACAGTGACCTTGGCTTATTAAAATGTCGAGACTTTTTTTATTTGACTATTTCCACAAATAAACCCCACATGTTTTATTAACATCTTAAATTCTACTGAACTCCAACTTTGCTGCTTTTGATCTACAAAGGTCTAAGTAACCAGAAAGCCGAGCTTATTAGAAAAGTATGTCAAGAAGTCTTAAGTAGAAATTGATGACTCTTGTATCAGTAAGTGCTTGGCTTTGTGCATAGAACCTTTTGGTATCTATTTTGGCTCTTTGGAGGCTCCCCTACCTTCTTTTTTGGTTTACAGCTACATTCCTGGAAAATGAGGTTATCAGAGAAATGACTTCCAGAAAACCAGGTATTCCCATGGCAACCAAGCTCAACCCCTTGCTTTTCCTTTTCCATGATACCGCTAGTCTGATTAGTCCCCAAGTTCTACAGAATACTAGTGGCATTCCCTTCTATTTGGGGCCCCCACTGGTCCTAGCTCTTAATACCCCTCTCCTGATATACTACATTCTAGATTTTAACACCCTTGCCTTGCTTCCCCCCTCCCCAATCCATCCCACACCACCATCCAGAATGATCTTTTAAGATACATCACATCCCACCCCACAAACTTCTCTGGACACTCCTCTACCATGACCTAAATAAAGCCTCAGGTCTTTGGCCTTTCAAAGTGTTCTCCCTGCCCTCATTCTGCTCCAGCCTCATCTCTGACATGAACACCCCATACTCAATAGACTTGGGTACAGTACCCTGCACTCATGTGGTGCCCTTCTGTCCCCCCGCATTGTGCATGCTCTCCCCAACCCTCCATGCCCAGTGGTGCACTGAGCTCACCTCCCGAGGCCCCTTCTGCAAGTCCTGTCTGTAGTGCTGCTCTGAGCTCCCCTGGCCTGGGCCCCATCCCATCTCCTCTTGGGTGCTGTCAAGCCTGGTATGCCACTGGCACTCAGTCAGTGTGTGCGCTGGGGCAGAAGTTCTAGCTCATACCCTGAAATCCATCCTGGTTGATGTCACCAATGCTGGCCACAGAGAAGCCAAAGGCAGAGCGACTGGAGCCATGCAGGAGGAGAGACGGCTGGGCAGGGAAGGAGGTGCCTGCCTGGTTCATGTAGACATAGACAGCACCCCCTACCTCCTCTTTCCGCTCAAAGTAGTAGGGGGCACCCACCAGGAGATCCTGCCACCTGCACAGGAGAGGAGGGAGAAACGAAAGTATGAGGTCAGCCCCAATAGGTGGCATAACTCCATATAATGGGCACAGTTGTGCCAGGGCACACAGCTGTGCAAATAGCAGCTCTGGCAGGAAGGACATGGAAATGCCAACCTGACCTATTAAACATAAAATACATGTCATGGAGATGCTATGGAGACACAAATCACACTGAAACAGCCCACATCCACTAGAGCTATACAGGTGGCAGACAAGGAGATGCAGATGCCATGCAAATGACAGACAAATACCCAGAATCCCATAAATTTGATTGTAAATCAATAGATAAAACTGATTTTCAAATCCCTGCAAATAGCATCCAAACAAAAATACAATGGCAATCCTCCATCTCTCCATCCAGGTTGGGGCAAGCCTGCCCCACTCACCATTCTCCCCAGCCCCAGAGGATGTCCCTGGATTCTCACCCATCATTGTTCAGGTCTGCCAGGGCAATGGCGCTGCCAAAATAGGCGCCCACCTGCGTGCCCTCCAGCACCTGCCTCCTCCGCAGGTCTCCACCTGCCTCCTGGCTCAGCAAGTAGACAGCGCCCATGTGTCGGTGCCGTGGGGCACCCGTCACAATAGTGATGTCCGTGGGGTGCAGGATGGCACTGCCCACCTGCACTGTGTACCCTGGGATGAGAGGAAGGTGGTCAGTTCAGGTCTTAGTAAGCTTTGTCCCCTTCTACTCTGGACCCACCCCAGGACTCGACCCTTACCTTCTGTTCCCCTATTCCCAGAAGTCTGCCCAGCTCCCCAGGCCTTCCTGCGCTCTGGACTATGAGGTCCATGAGGGTAGTGACTTTGCATCTTTGGTGCATACAGGTGGTGCTCAGTAAGTGTGTGCAAGTTGAACTAAATGCCATTGGCAACACCTGCACCCTGACTTCACACTTGACCAGGCATGTAGGTGAGAGACCAGTGTGCTAAGCCCAAGCCCTTCCTCCTCCATTATCCAATGAGCCACCAAAACTGGACTTACCAATATAGAGGTTTCCTTTGTCCTCTGCGGCCTTGTAGCTGTACTCGGATAAATCCCAGTCCTTCCGCTGAATCATGTAGTTGTTTCCTTCACAAGGATTTGGGAGGGATACGTCACCCTCCCTTTTCTCTGCCATGTCCAGCCACAGCCCACCACCCAGATAAGTATAATAGTCACCACTTTTATTCATGAACACTTTGCTATCTGCAAATCACTTCCTCTTTATCTTAACAATTTTGTGAAGTAGAATGGTGACCCCATCTTACAGATAAGTAAAGGCGGATGGAGGCCTCCCTGGTGGTGCAAGGGGTTAAGATGCAACTATGAAGCTGTCCACAGCCACTGCAGCACGAGTTCAATCCCTGGCCAGGAAGCTGACCCACTTGGCCCAGCAGACCTTTCCTGTCTCAACCCGCTGCTCCCCTCCGCAGTGTATATCAGTGGATCCGCCTGTTCTGTTCCCCACTCTGTCTCTGGTGAACCACTCACCCCCCACTTCTCTGGCCTGCATCCCAGCTCTTATATGCATAAATAAATAAATCTTTTTTTTAAAAAAAGGAAATAAAAGTGGGATGGGCAGTTAGCTGTAGATATATGGTGGGAATGTGATCATCCAGGTTCCAGGGGACTAGGTGGGGTTTCCCCACGCTAGACACTGAGGCCAGCCTCCACATACTATCTCCTGGTCCTTCCCCCAAACTCAGCTGCCCACCTGTCCCAGATCCCCTGGAGCTGCTACTGGAAGGTGTGCCAAGGCTCTGAAAGGCTAGGGGGTGGAAGGCAGGACAGAGGGGAGAGCTGAGGTCTCTGCCTAAGAGGACCCCAGAGCTGCAACTACCTGGGCAGTCCAGAGGAGATTCAGGGCACCCTCTGCCTATTGATTCTGCAACAGTGAGGGTGCAGCAAGGGAGAACGGGTCATTGAGGCTATTGTACAATGTGTGTGGCTAAGAGACAGTCAGTGGAGGTGTCAGACACCTGAGTGGTACTTGCAGTTGGAACAGTAGGCCCCCTCATCTACAGTGGGATATTTCCCCAGGCTCCCAGTGATGCCTGAAGCCTCAGAGAGGACTGAAGCCTGCATATACTGAAGCTTGTGTATACTGCTTTTTCTTATACATACATACCTCTAACATTCAATTTATATATTAAGCACAGGAGATGGACAACAACAACTAATAATAAAATAACATTGATAACAAGGTAATGTAATAAAAGTTAGGTGAATGTGCTCTCTCTCTCAAAGTGTCTCATTATGCATAGAATTTTCAGACAACTGTTAACTGCAGGTAACTGAAACTACAGAGATCAGGGGAACTACTGTAGGTACAAGTATGGGTCTTGATATTCTGCAGCCCCTCCTCAAAAGATTGCCTTATATGTACTAGTTTGAAAAAATACCTATAATTTACTGATAAGTGAAAAGATTAAATAAACAGCATGTTTAGGTGATGCTGTGTGTGTGTGTGTGTGTGTGTGTGTGTGTGTTTTTAAAAGATCCTTATATTTTAAAATAAATCTGGAAGGATCCACAAGATCCTTGTGCTGAGAGAGTTGGAGGTGGGGGAGGAGGGGCATTTTACTCTTTATCTTACTGACCCTACTGTACTATTAGTAATTCTACAAGGCACGTGTTTTAATTGTTTGGTACATCTTTAAAAGGTTAATCTGGAGTCAGGTGGCCCTCCGTTGCAATTTAGGCTTCATCATTTATTGTTGAACTTGGACGTGCACTGCACTTCCCTGAGGCTCTGTTTTCTGTAAAATGGGTATAATAATACTCACCTCATGAGAGTATTTTAAGGTTAAGATGATATGTCTAAAGACTATGGCACATAGTAAGTGCTTTATTTTTTTTAAAGATTTATTTATTTTTATACAAGAATTGGGGTACAGGCCAGAGATGCACGGGGGTGGGTGAGAGGATGTACCAGAGACAGAGTGGGGAATAGAACAGGCAGACGGACTGAAGTACACTGCTGAGGGGAGCAGCGGGCGAGACAGGAGAGATCTGTCCCACCATGTGGGTTTCTCCCTAGCCAGCCGGGAATCGAACTTGTGCTGCAGTGGCTGCGGATTTCTTCATAGGTTGTATCTTAACCCGAGCCACCAGGGAGGCCCCATAGTAAGTGCTTTAAAACACCGATACTGGGACCTTCCTGGTAGCTCAAGGGGTTAAGCACTGCACTATGAAGCAGTCCACAGCCTCTGCAGCACGAGATGGATCCCCAGCTGGCCAGGGAGAAACCCATATGGCGCAGCAGACCTCTCCTGTCTTGCTCGCTGCTCCCCTCAGCAGTGTACTTTGGTCAGTCTGTCTTTTCTGTTCCCCACTCTGTCTCTGGTGAAAGCTCTCACCCCTCACATCTCTGGCCTGTGCCCCAGTTCTTGTATGCATAAATAAATAAATCTTTTAAAAAAAAAAAAAACACCAATATTGGCAAAGGGGTCCTGATATTGGCAAAGGGGTCCTGTCTCTTCTGCCTGCTGGTGTGGAGGGTCTGGGCCAGCTGCCCCATGGCTAATGGGGAGGTGGGTGTTCTCCGTCCCTCCTCCCTTCCCCAGGTTCCCACCTTTCCAATTGTAGGCACCAGGGGCACCAAAGTACACAGTGTTCTGGGTGAAGCCCCCACTGGTGCCCAGCTGGCACATGCCGGTCTCCAGGTAGTCGGTGTTGCTGTTGCACATCTCGTTGTGGTAGGTCTGCCAGTCATCCGTGTGGTCCAGCTGCAGGTCGTTGCCCCGCACGTAGCACTTGCCCACCATGCGCCGCTGGTCCTCTGACCCTGACCATAGCACCTGGGTATAGCGGTGGGCACAGACCTGGGGACCCCCCCAACACACACAGCCTGAGCCTGCAGTGGGGTCCAGCTGTCTATTCAGCTGTTTCCCTGCACCTGGGCACGTCTGAGTGCAGAGAAGGAGTTGGAAGGGGTCCTGGCATTCCTTCCTTCCCACAGTGATACCTGGACCCGCAGCTCCTCTCCAGAACTCAGAGATCTGCTCTGAAGGGGGCGGGGGACACATTCTGGAGGGTCAGAAGGTATAGGATGGAGAGTTACTTAGAGATCTTGGCAAAAGGATGAGGGTATATGGGGTTCAGGTTCTACGGTCTACAAGGAGCTAGATGCCGGGCAGCTTCTCTGCTGGCCCCAGATGACCCTGCCCTCTTGATGAAAGGACCATTATTAAAATAATAACAACAGCAATAATAGCAGCAGATAACCCGACCGAGTGCTTACTGCAAGCCAGGCACAATTCTAAGCTCTTTGCATATTAACTCTTTTAAGCCTCGTAACTCCTCCTGTGAAGTGGGGACAATTATTCCCCCCATTTTAAATAAGGAAACTGAGGCACAGAGAACCAAATCTCTGCCTGAATATCTGAAGACAGAGAAAATTCAAACCAAAGCTGCTGGCTCCCCAGACCGAGGGCAGAAGTGTGAGGGCAAGCTGCCTCTCCCACATACTAGAGGCGCTCGGGAAATCGTTAGTAAATCAATCAGAACAGGGTGTTTGTGAAGTAACTCCAGAAATAAGCCTGGTTCTTGTTGACTTGCCTTTGCGTCCCTTTCAGCTCTGAGTCCACTAGCACAGAACCTGTGCCTGTCACGAGTCACTGCTAACTCCCCAGGGCCTGCACACTGCGTAGCACGTAGTAGGTGCTCACTAAAATGTGCTGCATGAACAGATGGGTGAAGAGACATCTGCTGAAGGACTGTCTTAAATGGAACCCTAAACCCACATCATCCGTAACAAGGTATTTCAGTGAATGGATGCAAACCGGAACTTCAAGCAGTGTTCAAAGGTGACAGAAATCACAGCAGTGATGGCAATGGCGGTGACAATGGATTGAAAGGGGGCACACGTTCTGGAGCGAAGATTCTGCCCTTTCTTTAATGGATGTTGTTTATATATGTGTATAATTTGTCAAAAATGCACTGGAACTTTAAAATCTGTATATTTGGCTGTATCTCAATTTTCCAGCAATTAAAAAAATGAAAAAATAATTGTCTATCTGGGATGCATACATTGAGACTGGCCCTGAAGAATGTGGGCAGGAGATGACAGTTGACAGCAGGGAGTGGCCCCAAAACCACATGAGTGGGGGGTCAGTAGGGCTGTGCCTCTTCCGCCACCAGCCTCCCAGAAAGGAGTGTGGCCAGGCCGCACTGCCCGAGGCCCTTTCTGCCCTTTCCTCATAGCAGTTCCCTCAGCTGGTTCCCACGAAGGGCGAACACACTGGAGGGGGGGTGTGGGAAGGATGTGGGTGATTCAGAGCATGCCAGTCCTCACCCCTCCCATAAGTGCAGGATCAAGGGACACTCAAGCCCCTGAAGATCACAGTCACAGAAATGGACATTTGCAAGGCCCCAGCTCAGACACTGAGGACCCCTCTCCTGCCTTCTGCTTCCCTCCCCAGCGCCCAGGAAATGAAGGAAAGGACAGTGGGACAAGGGGAGCTGATGGTGACTACCCACTTACCAGGACTCTGCCTGCAGGTCCCTGGCTGGCCACAGTCACCCCAAGCCACATGTCCTCAATAATGTGATGGCCAGGATTACCTGTAGGAGGGACCATGAGCCAGCGTACCCCATCCTCCCAGTACCCAGAGCCTCCAGATGGCAGGGCTTGCTCCCTCTTGGACTCTCCACTCCAGCAGGTCAGCTTGCCATGCTCCCCTTCCCCAGCCCATTATTAGCCTGAGCTCTACAAATCCCGTATGGCCCCCCTCTCTCCTAGGGCTTGCTCTTCCCAGCTGGACAAGAAGTGACAAGAAACTGCCCAGGCAACCTTCTATCTCCTCCAGTCATTCTATCCACACCACCTCCCCTCTGGGGCTCCAGACCCGGCACTGATCCCAGCCCCAGCCCCTCACTTTTCTCCACAATGTCCATCCGTTCACAGTCATCCTTATTGGCAGTAAGTGGGCACAGGTACACAGCTCCAGTGCGGTTGGTATAGCCATCGGGTACGGCAAGGTCCTGGGGGGCCCCAGCCAGGAGCCTAGGGGGCAAGAAGGTAGGTTATGCTGGGGCCCAGACTCCCCAAAGTCTGCTTCAAACTACTTGCTGTTCAACATGCATTTACTGAGTACTTGCTCTGTACCAGGCTGTATGCCAAGCACTGGGGGACGGGAGACAAATGGATCCCAGCCCCCGGCCTCCAGGAGTGCCCAGTGCAAGGAAGACAGGAAGACAGACACCTCAGTCAATGCCCCATAAATCAGGACTAGCTCCCCCCGATTCAGCCTGGATGGCAGTCAGACCCACAGAAGAAAAGATCCTGGCCTGAGTTTGAGGACGACTGGGGTTCACCAGGTGAAGGAGGAAGGGCATCTCTGGCAACGGTTTGGCCCGGGCTAGGGCCAGGAAGCTTGAGCAAGCAGGGTGATTCAGGGATCTGCAAGATCCTGAGCACAGCTGGAGCCCAGGAGCACGGGGAGAGGCGTGCAGGCAGGGTGGGGAGCACAGCAACGGAGCGATTTTAAGCAAGGGCGTGACATGGTCAGATCAGGGTTTGGGAAGGAATGCTTTGGCCTCTACAGTGAAGGTAGACCAGAAAAAAGCAAGGTTGGAGGACCCTGGTAGGGTTCAACTTCGGGGGATGGAGGGGAGAGTGGGTGAAGGGTGGGTTGTTAGAGGTCTGGTTTTTCCTCCCTAAGCCATCTGAGGACTTTATCTAGGAGGTCTGGGTCCCTAGATGACCTGGGAGCTGTGTCACACACCCCTGCCCCCCCTCCCCCATATAACACCTACACAGGCACAGGTAAGGGTGGGGCTGGGTTCCAGGTGCTTGGGAATGTGGCCCCAGGGCTGAGTTCTCTGGGAATGGACAAAGTGATCATCCTTGCCTGTTGCCTTGCTCTGATCTGCCTTTTTTAGGGACACCAATGGCAAGTTCCTCCAAGTGGGCTAGGGCCCTTGATACCAGGGTACAAGAGAAGTGACTAGAAGAGAGGAAGGCAAGGGACCAGCCTTGATGGATCCAGCCTCCTGGGTGGCAGGCACCTCCTCAGTACCCCTCATCTGGTCCCAGCAATGTGTCGCCCTGAGACTCCCAGCTCAGAAACTTGGGCTCTGGGCCACCTGCCAGAGTCTAGAAGTGCCGAGCAACGAGCAACAGCCCTGCTTGCAGCTTTTGCCTGGGACCTGTGAGCAAGGGTTTCAGGGAATGGCAGGGCAGGGCCTGGGCATGCTGGGGCCTGAGGTGCCTCCGCCCACTGGGTGTCAGGAATGTGCTGCCTGGGGGTGCCAGGAAAGGGGGGCGGGCCCTGTGCCTGCACTTCATGTCACAGCTCAGACCTCACCCTAGGGAAGTTCTCCTGGGGGCAGGGGTGCAGCTTCTCTAAGTGGAACAGGAAGGCTGGCAGGGGGCCAGCCAGGCCCAGTTAGTCACCCTCTGTCTGGGCTGGGGAAGGTGCCCGGTGAGTTCACTGCCTGACCACCCAAGGACATCCATTCCCTGGCTCCCTGGTGCTCCTGAAAGATGAGAGAAGGAGGCCAAAGTCCCATGGGAAAGGAAGTACTCTCTGCCTGGGGGGCAATGGACCTGGCTCTTGGGTTTGTTCTGCCTCAGATCAATTTCCTTTCCCTTTTTAAGCCTTGTGTGCTCATCTGTGAAATGGGGGCAGTAGCTGTCCTGCCAACCTCTGGGGCGGCTGGGGGAGCACATGGATTCATTCTGTGGAAGGGCTTTCCGGTCTGAAGCCATGGCAATGCAAGCACTGATTTCTGTGGCTCCATTAACAGCCCTAGGACCTCCCAGGCCTCCCTCCGGGAGCCTAGAAATTTCTGCACTTCCCCTCCCCTCCCTGGATTATGGAACCTAGAGCAGAGGGCAGAAAGTAAACTAGCTCAGCAGTTTAGAGGAAGACAGGAGATACATGGCGCTCCCGGGACATGAGTACCAAGCAGCCAGGAACGTGGACCCAGGTCAGTGGGAGCTAGGGCTAGTCTAGGGTGGGGCTCAGATTTGGCTGGAGCTATCGAGGCTGGGGTTGGCTAAAATGATTTTAAAGTTGGGCCCTGGGGAGCCCAGGTTGCATTCCAGGGTGTGAAATGCAGTAGAAGTGTTGCTGCCCACACTGCCCAGGCTCCTGGGCAGAAGGTGGCCAAGGAGCAGGGTGGCCATGCCCTCGAAGCTCCCTCATCTCAGAAGTGGGCTGGGAGATCCCTCCTCTTAGCCTCTGTGGTACCAAGCAGGCAGAGCTGGGTGTGAATGGCAATTGGATTGAAAAAATCCCCTCACCATCTCTACCTCTCGCCCTCACTCCCCCAGCGTCTTGCTCACTGATGGGCAGGGGGGCAGTGCTAGTGCCTGAATCCCAGCCCCACATCCCAGGCCCCTCCCCTCCCCCACCAGAGATTCCACAGGGAGCCCCCCACCCCCCTGGAATATTTTTAGCTCCTGCTTGGCCCGCTTAGAGGCCCTTTAAGGCCCTCTGGCACCCAGCCCGGGATCCAATGGGTCTACAGCCAGGGGACTTTGAGTGGATGGGGGAAGGAGGGTGGGTATGCAGAGGGTCAGGTCCAGATTCCTCCAGCCACAGTCAGGTGCGGGAGAATCCAGAGGGGAGAGAACTTACTTATATGTAAATACAATGTATATCAATATGCAAATGAGCATCCGCTACCTGCTATGAGTCCCAAAGCAGACTCCTCTCAGACCACCTCTGAGTCCACCCTCCCAGCAGAGTCAGCTGGATGGGATGCCCAGCTCTTGAAGCAAGGAAGAGAGGAGACTGGACTCTTCTCCTGGAGTCAGGCTGGGCTGGGGAGGAGGAGGAGAGGGGTCCCCCTACCCCTGAGAAAGGTGGATGGGTAAAAACCTCTCAGGGTTTTCAAACAGCTGCTCCTTCAACCTCTCCTTTGGCTCCAGCCAAACAGCCCCTCCTGGGTCTCTGGGGAGCCTCCTGAGCTTCAAGTTCCAGAAAAGCACTTCCTCACCCCTGTTCCATCTTGCATCCAGGGCAAATAACAGTCAAGTAGGAAGTAGCGGAATGGATAAAGCAATAAACAGTCAAGTAGGAAGTAGCGGAATGGAGACAGTTGGGGAGCGGGGCCCAGGAGCATCCAGGGTACCAAGTTGGCTCATCCCAGAGAAGGTGGCACGCTGGAGGGCACTGGGCTGGAGCACTGCTCAGACAAGCAGCTCATAAGATTCAGCTTCCCAGACCCCTCAGCTCAGGGAGGTGCTGGGGTGGGTGCAAGGGAAAGATCTCTGTTACCTTGGAGGAGCCAGAGGGGCCAGCATTGAGGCCCAGGCCCCCCCACTCTGTGCTTTGCTGCCCAGCTCTCTAGCCACCTGAGTTTCCCTTCCACCCCAGGCCAGGAAGCAGGTCTGAGGCCGCTCCAGCACTCCAGCTCGGTCCTGGGTGGGGGTGGGGACAGCGCTCAGATGCCTGGATCCCAGCTCTGTGCCAATCTCGCTGCCCGAATTAGCCATCTCCCCAGAGGCTGCTCCTGTGGTAGCTGAAACTGCAGCCCTCTCCATCCTCCCCTACTTCTTATGCTGCCCACCCAGCCCCCTCTCCCCTCTGGTGACTCAGCCCTAGAACCAGAGCAACAAGCTGGAGGAAACGAGAGAATGAGACAATCTGAGAGGACAGGAGAAAGAGGCTTGGCCCAAGCCACAGATAAAAAGGAACAAGGCTGTTTTTCTCATTTCTTTTCCCTCTCCTCGCTCTTTGGTATTTTTTCCACCTTTGATCCCTTGGAGCGTTCTTCATGTCATCTAACCTCAGTGCCTCTTGCTGCTATGGACACCTCCTTCCTCCTTTGTTCAGTTCTGACCAAGCCCCTTCTACTTCTTTTTCTACACAATCAGGCTCCCTCTATCTCCAGTCCAGTTTAAAACACCTTGGTCTGGACTGGTCACTGGAGAGAGCCGGAGGCAACGAACACTCCACATCCAGGCCTTCTGCCTGTGCCTACAGCTGTTGTGCCGTTTCCTCTGGCACGAGCCTTGGAGGTTGCCAGGCGCCTGCCCTGCCCAGAAAACATGTTTTAAGAGAGCATGGCAGGTAAACTGGCTGCTGCCTACCTCAGGCATGACTTCATCTTCCAGGAGCCACAGCATTCCCCACACCGTGCCTGGCTTCCCAGACACCCTCATTTCCAGGCAAGTGCAAAAGGGAGAAAGGGCCCAGAGGCAGCCCACATACCCATGAGGCGAGGCCAGACCAGGACCCCCGGGTTCCCAGGAGGGGAAGACAGAGCAGGAGCCGGGGGCTGGGGACTGAGTAACCACCTTCCGTAGGAATGTTCCCTCTCCTTTCCTGGGCCCTCATATACCTCACCAAGAAGTCAAAGCACCTTGGTCCTCTGCCCTGCTCCTCACCCCTCGCTTCTGGGGACTAGGGAATTGGGGCCCGGCCTGGGGTGAGTCTCTGATATTGTGAGCAGGAAACCCCAGTGCAGAGATGAAAATGATGGGGCAGGGCCTCCCTTGTGGCGCAAGGGGTTAAGCACCGCACTATGAAACAATCTGCAGCCTCTGCAGCACAAGTTTGAATCCCAGCCGGCCGGGGAGAAACCACATGGCGCAGCAGACCTCTCCTGCTCGCCCGCTGCTCCCCTCAGCAGTGTGTTTCAGAGAGTCTGCCTGTTCTGTTCCCCAGCCTGTCTCTGGTGAATCCTCTCACCCCCCGCATCTCTGGCCTGTACCCCAGCTCTTGTATGCATAAATAAATAAATCTTTAAAAAAAAAAAAAAAGAAAATGATGGGGCAACAAAGAGGGTCTACACCTGGGCTTTTGACCATTTCTGGAACAAGGTCTTCCTGGAGAATCTGATGGACCTATGCTCCCCATTGCACCCCCTCCCAGAACGAGGCACAAACACAAATGATTTTGAATTTACTTTCAGGGATCCCTGCATCTCCTGAAAACCTACTATGAAGCCTGGGCTAAGTAAGAGTTTGTTCAGGACTATGAACATGGTCCCTTTGCCAAAGGGACTTTGAAGCCAATAGAATATCTGACAGCAACTTGACTTGCTAGCCTCCCTGAACTATGCACTCAGGCAGCTGCTCACATCTGGCTACGCAGCTGGCAGCAGCTAAGCCCATATGGCCCAGCTGGCTTTTCCAAAGGGCCAACAGGCAGAATTCAGTGAGGAGAGATGAGCCAAGTTATAGCACCACCTCTGGGAAAGACTGAGGATACCCCAAAGGGAGACCCAGAACTCCACTTAGAACTACCTGCCTCACCAAAGTTCATTTATTTTAGAACCTTCTGGGCTCACCCAAGAATTAAGAGTAGAACTTCTCTGCTCAGTCATCTTGGGTAAGGCCTTTGGGCAGCAGGGGTACATTTCAGATCCTGGCTTCCACATAAGAACCCTCAGCTGCTCTTCAGAAAGCAGGTAAACACAACGCATTTTACACACATTGTTTCATTAAGGTACTTCCACCCTCTGAAGAAGGTGTATTGTTCCCCTTCTTCTGACCCGTGAGGAAATTAAGACACAGGTAGTAGTGACAAATCCAAGACAGGAAACTGGCAATGGACTTGGTAACCTCTTCTGTCTCCACAATGTCCAAGCACCTCTCTTTTTTTTTTTTTAATTTTTTTTTGGGGGACCCTTGCCGGTGGCCGGGGAGCGAACTGGCGCTACAGAGGCTGCGGGCAGCTGCGCCACCAGGGGAGGCCCCAGGCACCTTTTTTTTTTTTAAGATTTATTTATTTATTTATACAAGCACTGGGTACAGTCAGAAGCGCGGGAGGGTGAGAGAATTCACCAGAGCCAGAGCAGGGAGCAGAGCAGGCAGAAGGACCGAAGTACACTGCTGAGGGGAGCAGCGGGCGTCTGCGCGCCATGTGGGACCCTACTCCGGTGGCCGGGGAGCAGCCAGGGATCGAACCAGCGCTGCAGAGGCTGCAGGCAGCTTCGCAACCCAGCACTCAACCGCTGCGCCACCGGGGAGGCCCCCCCAGGCACCTCTTATAGGCCAACAGAGACAGGAAGAAGTATATACATCCATGTCCAACCCCTCCTTGAAGAAATCTGGCCTAGAGAAGGGAAATATCTTGCTTAAGGTAAAGGGAGTGAGGGGAGTCGGGGGTGTGCAGAATCATTAACTCTTGCTCTCCAGTCTGATCTTCTCTTTACTGTGTACTGCTTTATATCATGCAGAATCAGCAGTGAAGATCTAAAAATCTTCTGGGCTGAAAGAGCACCAATATAGACATTTGTGCAGATGACCACTTACATCCTCCAAAAGAAGGAGCTGTCACTGGGACCAGACAGGGAAGGGTGTGGTGGCTCTAGCCTCTGCAGAAGCAAGACGGAGTTGCAGCCAAGTTCAAGTAGATAGTCGGGCTGGGGATTGGCCAGCAGGGCTGGGGCAAAGTGTGGACCTTGGACATTGTAAGCTTCCTCAAGTTTCTGTAGGACCCAACCAGACTTGGGAGAGGTTTCAACACACCTTTTATTTGATGTCTGTTCAGGGAGTTCAGACACCAGCTGGGGGTGGATGTCTGGTAAGCTACCAGCTCAGAGAGGACAGCAGAGGCAGATGGAGCCTGCCTGACCTCTCCTAACCACCACCCCTCAGGGGGCTGAGCCTGAGTATGTATAATGGGGTGGGGCAAGAAGGACCCAAGCAGCTGGAATAGTTCTCCTTCCCCTCTCTCCAGTATGCCTAGTTCTTCCCCCTCCTACTCCTTGCAGCTGTTGGGAAAGGAGACCAGAAGAAAGAGAAAAACACCATTTCCCTCTTCAAACCAAAACAAACATACTCAGGGCTGAAGATTCAACATGAATCTGTGGAATGCAGGGAAGCTGTCTGGTGGGAGGGTGTCACTGCTGGGTGTTGGGATGGGGGAGCAGGAGTTGGGACAACCCCTCCTATCTCTCCTACTTCCCTCGTTCTCCAGGGGTCAGGAGGAGCTCCTGGACAGCTCCAAACACCCAGACTCATCCTCCAACCACCAAGCAGTGGAGAAGGCCCTTGGGTCTGACTCTGCAGAGGGTGTGGCTGCTGTGGCCGCAGACTAAAAGCAAGGTGTAAGGGTGTGGGGGAGCTTAAATGCATATGCCCACAGGTTCTTTCCAGGAAAGAGATAAAGGGGACCCCTCCATGTTTATCTTGCAGTTTGCCCCAGCTCCCAGCCCTACAGAGAAAAGGCATTCAGCGTACTAGGTACTGGGTTCACAGGCATTGGGGACCCCATTCATGCTGTCAAGAGAGGTTTAAAGGGCCGAGGGGTCTCATCTAGACAGGTTCTGGCCAGGTCAGCACTTGCCAGTGCTTACTGCCCCCATCTCACACCCAATCTCCACTTCCCGCCAAGCCTCTGCAGCCAGAGGGCTGTCCAGTTCCCCGCCCCCTTAGTCCTCGCTCGCAAGTACCGGCGGCCGCGGGTCTGGCTGCCAGTGGATCCAGGGTTCCCACTCAATTCTGGATCCACATCGTGCACACAAGCCCCCCTCCCACCCCGCCCCCGCCAGACTCACAGGTAGCGTTGCTGCCGCTCTGTCTGCCGATGGAGGGCGACCGAGTAGCCAAAGAGGCTGCCTGGGTTCCCGGCCTCCTTCACCACCAGGAATCGGGTGTCCAGGTTGAAGGCAGAGGCGACGCGGCCGCCGGCGGCCACCATCAGGGCGAGCGCACAGAGCACCGGGCGCGGGGCCCGGGCGGCTCGGCGGGGCCCGGGACCCATGGCCGAGAGCAGGCGCGGGAGCCGGGACCAGGACGCGCGAGGGCGTGCGGGGGCAGCGAGGACCTGTTCACCTGCTCGCGGCGCTCCCGCCGGCAGCCTCGGGGTGCCCGCGGCGCTGATCGGCTTCAGGCCCCCCAGCCCGCGTCAGTTCCACGCCCGCGGAGAGCCCGCGCTCTCCGATTCCCGTCCAGGTCCGCGGGCTGTGCCGCCTGCCCGCCCCGGGGCGCACGCCACCCCCGCGCGGGCGCCCTGCCCCTCGGCGCGTCCCGGCCGCGCCCCCTCGGCGCACTGTCGCCCTCGGCCCGGGCCCGGCGGCGGCTCTGGGCTGGCGGACCCGCAGACCGCAAGGAGGACGCCGGGGAGCGGCCCCCCACCCTGCGCGCGCCCCGCCTCCCCACGCCCAGCCCCGCACCTCCCCACCTTGCGCGCCCAGCCCGGCCGCGCTTTCCTTCCGGGGAAGAGAAAAGGTCCCGGCGCGGCCGCCGCCTCTTAAAGGGGCAGCGCGCCCCGCCCTCCTCAGGCCCCCCGCGCCGGCCCCGCCCTCGCCCCCAAGCACCTGCCGGGAGCCCCCAGACGCTGGCATTTCCCCTCTCCGCCCCTAGTTTCTCCGGGGAAACGTCGTCGCCCGGGCAAGATGGATTGGACGGGCGGGGCCGAGGGTGGGATTTGTGCGGCCGCGTCGCTGGGCTGTGGCGCGGCTGGAGAGGCCGCTGCAGGCGCGGCCGCCCCGCGCGGAGAGCCCCGGCGCCCGCGCATCTGCCCGCCGCGGTGCGCTCCCGCGCGCTGGGGAGCCCGACCCGCTCCGCCGCGCGGTGAGTCCCCGGGAGGCCGCTGGCGGGCTCTGGGCTTTCTCCCCCTCTCCGGGTCCCTTCGTCAAGATTTATTTCTTTTGCCCACTCACCCCTACCCACCCCGACCCGAGCCGGGGATGGCCCCTCAGCAAAGCCGGGTATTTAGTATGCGGGGAGTAATGACACCGCTAATGCAATGAGCACCCAGACAGCGTTTTCCCCGAAAGGGCTGCGCCTTCGGATCTCCCTTGCAAGCCCGTCGGGGTGGGAATGAGTCCCTTCCCCTTGCACTGAGTGACCTGACCCGCAAGGTGGGTCCACACTGCAGCCATTTCTCATTCACTCCCGCCCTAGGGGCCCAGCCCAACCTAATCCGAAAGGTCTACTCCGCCCACCCTGGCCCAGACTGAGCGCGGGCAGTGGCACCTGGCGCCAGGCCCCGCGGGTATGTAGTGGGTGGTGCCAGGTGGATGTAGGTGGGCGGGACCCAAACGTCTGGTTACCGGGGAAGAATCAAACTGGAAGGAATCTTCAAGAGGTCACGATGTACTTTCTAGATCTAACTCAGGTGTCCCTCTGGCAGCACAAGGACCCATTTTGCCCGGGCATTCTTCTCTCGAGGCTACAGCTGCCTTCTTATTTTATCCAGCCCTCAACACTCATTCCTCCTAAGTTCAGTTTGGAGTCCATGTCACTGTGAGTTTATAACAATAAGAAAACTACCACGTGGTAAGGGCTTATGTGAAGTACTTTACCGATATTATTACAGCAAATCCTCACAACCATCTCACAACCAGGCGTTACTTCTATTTTAAGATGAAGAAACGGAGACCCAGGAAGGTTAAGCAGGGTGGTGAAGGTCACACAGCTGAGATTTCAGTCCTGTGCTAACTGACCCCAGAGCCATTCTTGACCGCGCATGCTAATAATTAACATTTGTACAATACTCAGGGTCTAGAGCTTGTACAATTTGGATGCCTCTGCAAGGAAGAGAATAAGAATTAATAGCCCAAAGGGAGATTCGTAACCTGGGAAGAAACTCCAGCCACACTTTCCGGCTCATGAATCATCTCATTTCACCCTCCCGCCTTCTATGAGGTCAGGATTATCATCCTCCTTTGACTACCAGGGTAACCTGGATGTCCAACGGCTTGCAACTCTGGAAGCAGAGCTAGGACTGGAGGCTCCTGACCACAGCTGTGTCTTTAAGAGAAAAACTCCAGGCAGATGTTGGTCAGATAGCCAGTCTTGCCTAAACAAAAGCAGCTGCGATAACAGCTTTCTCTGAGCTGTTTGGAAAGGGACACTTGTCCCTGTCTGCCCTTAGAACAGCATTCGTTTCCGAGCTGTGACTGCTAGAGCCACGCAGGCTTGCTCCATGTTCTGATTTGTGGCCCGGGGCGTCCAGGGGTTAGGAGATATGTGGGGTCAAGGAACAGGAAACTGACCCGGATGGAAGTTGAACAGTTACCTGCTCTCCTACTGGCTGGTAGCTGGGTCCTCCATCTTGTTCCTGGAGAAGCGGATACAGTAAGGGCCAAGAGGGCAGGGGTCAGGGTGGACACTCAATGTAGGCAGGGGTCCCGCTTGAAACAGCTCTGACACTTCTGTGATGACAAATGGGCCCCGTGCCAGGCCTTATCTCTTTGGCCATCCCAAACAGGAATGACCAGCATGTCCGATCCCAGGGTTGGGAGCAGGAAAGGGATGAGGGATGGTTTTTCCATTCCAGGGGAGTGTTTGGAGGGAATGTGGGAGCAGGAGCAGGGGCGCCTGGTAGGGGGTGGGCCTGAGCTAAGGAATGTGGGGGAGTATCAGACAGAAGGGGGGAATGAATTAAGATGGGGGGAGACATGTGGACACTAGAAGATTTTTCTGGACTGGAGAGATGCAGAGAAAAATCCCATGTTCATACCAGAGGTCTGAACTCCTCTGGTTCTGGTGGCCTCATCTCCTCCCTCCGTTGACTTGAACATGCACATCCTTTCCATGAGGAACCCCCTAAAAATGTCAACAGAGAAAAACAAGTATGGGTGAAAAAAATATTTACTGAGAAATCTGAGTCCATTTATTAATGTGGACGGCTGACAGCTTTTAAGACTCACCTTACCATTTGTAGACAATTTTTAGACTGACTAGCCCTCACCCCCTGGGGGCATACACCAGGACAGGCTGGTAAGAAAGCCCAGGTGCTCCATTCTGTGTCCACGAGAGACTGAACCATGAAAGCCTCTTTCTGAGCAAATGCTCACCCCAAACTCACTCCCTAACCACAATAAAACCCCAGGCTGATCTCCTTCCATTGCTCTCTCATGACATTTCAGACCTGCTTAAGAAGCTGGCCCCACTCTTCCCAGAGACCTCAGTGATGTAAATAATAAACCTTTCACAAGCCCCAAACATGGGGTGTGGCCCGTTGACCGCTGAGGTGTCCCCAATAAAGTGCAAAATAGGGTTCTGCTGTAGGATCAGGAAGGCTTCCTGGAGAAGTGTTTGGATGCACCAGGAGAAAGAATTAGCAAGAGGAAGCCTCAGGAGAGAGGAAAGCAGGAGAGGGGCATACTTGTTTGGGGGTGAAGCATCCTCAGATACAACAATGATAAGGGCTATGTTCTATAAACTTCCATTTATTTAGTGCCTGCTGCCTTCAAACAGCCTTCCTCTGCCTACCTCCCTGATATCCCCCCATGAATTTTGCTCCCCAAACACCTCCTGTCACTCACCTCACAGGTCTGCACACAAACGTGGGGTGCATAGGCCACTGCTGGAGGAACAGTGGGACGGTGCCTTGTGACTTGAATGCCCGCTCTCTTCCGCCGCTCACCTTGAGTCGGTTACTTTCCTCCTCCTGGCCTCAGTTTCCCCATCTGTGAAATGAAAGCGCTGAAGGAAATGCCTCATTGTTCCTCAACTGGTGTTCGGTGTGTCCCAAAGCTCCTAATATTTATGAACTAAGTGGACCAAATCTCAGCTGTTGAACTAAGACTCAGGGCTCTATCTCTGATGTGACTTGAAAATGTAAGTTACCGGGGAGGGAGGGAAGAGCAGTGAAGCATGCAAAGGTTTATCAGATTTCCTTTCTCCTGTGACCCAGATACAGAATCGGGGCAGGCGGCTAGCCCTGGCCACTTCCCTGGCTCAGAATCTGTCTGCCCCAAACACTCGTCAACAACCTATCAAATCCTGGCACAGAGCTGAGTCCCCCCAGGGGCATCAGAGGAAGAAGAACATCTTTGGGGAGGCCGAGGTTTCATCCTGGCCTCACATTCTGAGAGCCCTCAAATTTATTTTTTTTTCTTTATATATATATAATTTTATATATTTTCACATTATTTTACATTTTTGGACAATGTATGCATTTTCACCTTGGTTATAGTCCCCATGAAATTCCCATCACCCATTCAACCATGACCTCTCTCCATGGTCCCTTGTGCTCTTCCCACCCCTGTTTTGATCCTACTCCCTTCTCCCCCCCTACAGAATGTCTCTTGTTTATAATTGTCTGTTGATTTTGATTTTTACTTTCTTATAGTTACTTTTTTATCACGCTCAGTGAAATAAGCCAGAAAGAAAGAGAAAAATACCGGATGGTCTCACTTGGAGGAATGTAGAGGATCCAAAAAAGGGAGCCCTCAAATTTAGACAGGCTATAGCCACATGGTGTGGTATTTAGGGCTGGTGTTTGTGGGGCCATGGGGGCTGAGAACATTTTGGCCACAGCATGAACTTGCATTGCCAGAGAAACCTGCTGGGGTGGAGGGGCCAGTGGGGGCTGCTGTGATAATGTGAGTAAGGTGAGGCAGGCTGAGAGGGATATGGGCAGAAGGAGGGAGAGAGGGACACTGATTTGACTTGAACTTTAGGTACAGGTGCAGTAGGGCCTGCTGGGGTAGAGGAGGGAAATAGCAGATGGGATGTGGGTACAAATAGGCAATGACTGAAAAAATCAGGACACTTCCCTGCCATCGACTACCCCACCCTCTTCTGCTTCCCCAGTTCCTCCTGCATGGTCTCCTCATGCTGAACATGCCTCGCCCTCCTGGCTGGAGATTAGGTTCTACAGTATTCTCTGGCTCCTACTACTAAGGCAGCCCTTTGGGGTTGGAGGCCACAGGGGCCCACGTGGCAGCTCCAGCTGAGCAGAGTCACCAGCCCCCCGGGATCTTCTGGGGAGAAGTCTTCTTTCTGGCAGGGATCAGTGCTCAGGTG